CAAGTTTCATCAACCCAAACTTTGGTGAATCTGATTCCACTTTTGAAATCAAACAAAAGCCAATTGAACCTTTGAAGGATGGCCAATTGTTGGTCAAGATTTTGTTGATCTCCAATGATCCAACTCAAAGAGGCTGGATTAGATCAAAGGACTCCAAGCAAAGATACTATGTTCCACCTGTGGAAATCGGATCTGCAATGCAATCATTAGCTATTGCAGAAGTTGTTGAAAGTAAGTCAAGCAAGTATGCCAAGGGTGACGTGGTCAATGGTAAGTTCAACTGGGCAGACTACATTGTTGTTGAAGATGCAGCTGTTTTCAACAAGATTGACAAGTCCTTGGGTTTCCCCTTGGAATTTTACCTTTCTGTCTTAGGTATGACCTCTTTGACTGCCTTTTTCGGGTTAACTGAAGCTGGTGAAATGAAAAAGTTCTTGACTGAAACTCCCGAAAAGCCATATATCTTGTTGGTGTCTGCTGCATCTGGTGCTACCGGATCAGTTGTTGTCCAAATTGCCAAACATGTCTTGGGGGCTTCCAAAGTCATTGGTATTTCCGGATCAGACGAGAAATGTAGATGGGTTGAAAGCTTAGGTGCCGATTTATGTGTCAACTACAGAAACGAAGACTACCAAAAACAAATTGACGACTTCCTTGGTGATGATTTAGTTGATTACTACTACGACAATGTTGGTGGATCAATCTTGGACTACGCTTTAACCAAAACAGCAAAATTTGGTCACGTCATTTCATGTGGATCGATCTCCACTTACAACTCAAAAGGTGACAACTCAGCTCCAGGAATCAAAAACTGGGGAGAACTTACTGTTAATTCATTGACTGTCAAGGGGTTCCTTGTAAGTGACTATTTCTCAAAATTTGAACAGGGATTCCAACATTTGGGTAAAGCCGTCAAAGAAGGAAAAATTAAAGCTCAAGGTGCATACCATGTTGACACTTTGACTGGTGATAGCATTGAAAAGAAATTGGAACAAATTCCAAAAATTTGGAACCAATTGTTTGTTGGTGAAAAGCCAAATGGTAAGTTGATCACCAAAGTAGCTTAAATAGAGTAGGATTGTAGTTTTAACACTGGATGGTTTTTTTTTATTGGTAATGGCACTATGGAGTGGGGTCTCATCTGACTGCCTCTTTCTTGACAGCATGTAGTGTTTACACAAAGTGGTTCATATGCCACTGTAATAAAAAGGTGTTGCTAAGCAGCATAAAAAAAAAGAAGACCTATATAATGTCTTAACGTGTCAGTTAAGGCAATAGAGACAATACTTGTCACCTCTTTACATGTCAAAGAAACATTCCACAAGCAGTAGCACAGTTCTGTTTGGTTTCTGAAACCGACACCTTGTAAAAGTTAGTGTTGCATTTCATCGGGGTAAGAATAATTTTTCGCCTATTTTGGACCAAAATAAAAAAACCCAAAAAAAATGTAAACAGTGCAAACAGTCACATTACTTTTTACAACCAAAATTTAAACAAACCAACCAACCAAAGCCGCAACCCCTATTACACAACTTCATATATAAACATGAGTATATGAGAAGAAAATGCAAAGACTGACTAATCAATTTTCCAACTTAGAGAATATTGGCAATCTAGATATACAACTTCTGAGCCATTCCATTTCATCCAAACAAGCAAAGTCTAAAAAGGCTACTTTATCGAAATACCAGGAGAATGTCAGTGAAGCCGAGGAATTAGAAGGATTCGAGTTTTATGATGATTTGTCGTTCTCAAAGTTCTCAAATAGCAATGCACTTTCCAAATCACTACCGATCTTAGTGCGTGAGAGTCAGGGAGATGAATCACCATTTATGAGAAAGTTACAGGAGAAATCAGCTTCCAGCTCCAAATTTGTCGACTATGCTAATGATTTACGACATTCATCAGGTCTGGCTCACCATAGTCCTACGTTTGATGCTAATTCTCGGGAAAGTAGATTTCATGAATCACATCGACTTGAAGAAATACCCGAAGGGACGCTAAACCATTTCAATGGCCAAAATAGGAGCCCTGCAAAATCATTTGGGGATATTAAATCGACACCAAGACATAAAAGAACAACGTCGGTAAAAATTTCGTTGACACCAGCACAAAAAACACAACCTAAAAGCAATGTGCACACACTGACTGCCCTCAACAACTTTGAATTTGGCACTTTAATAGGCAATGGTGCATTTGCCAGTGTTTACAAGGCAAAGAACTTGGCAACTGGTCATCTTGTTGCAATCAAGCAAATACGACTTGAACAAAATCAAGATGTTGGTGTGTTGATGGGAGAAATTGATCTTTTAAAGATATTGAAACATTCCAACATTGTCAAGTACCACGGCTTTGTTAAAACTTCCACTTCTTTAAATGTTATACTAGAATATTGTGGAGGAGGCTCATTGCGTCAGCTATACAAAAAACGCAAAAGTGGGCTTCCTGAGGTGGAGATTGTTAAATACGTGAGAGAAGTATTAGCTGGTCTAAATTACTTGCATGAGCAGGGTGTGGTGCATCGAGATGTTAAAGCTGCTAATGTGTTACTAACCGATAAGGGAGAAGTAAAATTGGCTGACTTTGGTGTGGCTTCGAAGGTGAGCTCACAGCACTTTACGGTAGTGGGGACTCCAAATTGGATGGCTCCGGAAACTGTCCTTGGTGGGGAGGGGCTTTGTACTGCTTCCGATATATGGTCTCTTGGTGCTACTATCATTGAATTATTCACAACTAATCCTCCGTACCATGAGTTGAACGCAATGGCTACTCTTCATGCTATAGGCACTGATGACCATCCACCCATGCCTAAAACTCTATCAACGTTGGCGCTGGATTTTTTAATGGAGTGCTTTCAAAAACAGCCGAATTTGAGAGTAAGTGCAAGCTTGTTGCTTAAACACAAATGGTTGAATCAAGGTACTTCCGGTGATTTGATTGGTAAGAACGATAGCAAGAGGAGTTCAAGTTATGTTCTACCACCGCTTGATGAACCGCTTGGGGAGCCGGTTTCAAATGAGGAACCAAAATACTATGTTGATGATGATGGTTCCGAAATGCAATCCAAATTTTTCCGAAGTCTGTTGATTCTGAAAACCAAGCTTTCAAAGAACGACTTGTTGAATAAGTTTCAGGAAAATGATGACCCTGAAGTATTATCCTCAGTATTTATAAAAACTGGCCCGTTTGCTATCTTCAATAGAGATTCAGAAGACACCGAAGAAAATGACCCGTTTTTGGACATTGAAGTTGACAACTTTGATACTAATGAAATAGAAATTCAAACCAAGATGGAATACTTGGTAACCAAATTATCTCAGAAGTTGGAACAATTACACGCTGGTAATGCTGATGCTGCCGAAAAACTAATCAAAGTGACAGGAAGAATGTGCCATTTGATTAAAAAGTACCCATTTCTGCATGATACATTCATTCGGGATCATGGAGTACTCTCACTAATGGAACTATTGGAGTCTCATCAAGATATACCGAAGCAAAACCAATTATGGTACTATACTTTATCAGTATTGAATTACGTGTTTGAAGCGAACATAGGGCAGTTGGAAAATTTCTGCTTCTTGGGAGGTATACCCACAATTGCCCACTTTAGAAACTCCACATACGACAAGAGAGTGAGACTTGAGGTGGCTAGGTTTATCAACTGTTTAAATCGGTCAAATAATGCATTGTCGATGTTTGTTTCGTGTGGTGGTCTCAGATTGGTGGCCAAGTTTGTTGAAGAAGACTTTGACACAACACCTACATTTCCCATGGTTGCAATCGACACTATCCATAATGTTTTAACTAGAGACGTGAGCCGATCCAAGTCTAATATATGTCGAATTTTGTCCAAACACGGCGTTTTATTTTGGTTTGTCGTGTTGCTAAACATGCTCTTGAAGAGATGTAGTCAAGCAGACCACAGTTTGGTGCATGAAATGCAGTTAGCCGCCGGTAAAGTTGTTGACATTCTTAGGTTCTTTAGTCAAGCCGAAACTAAAGTCAGGGCTGCTGTTGCCAATGTCGATATTTTTAAACTTTTGGTCAAGTTGTACGACAAATTGGAATTCGCTCAACAGATTGTCGTTTTAAAGTTTTTCAGATCAATGTCCTGCATTGGAGATGTTTTAAAATATCTTTACAAAGCTGATATATTGGAATTTTTGGCAGGACTATTGGAAAAGTATGTACCCTCGAGGTCCAACTACAAAGAAGTGATTAACAATATCGCTCCTCTTGTCTACAACTGTCTTTCCTTGAATTATGCCAAAGTGATAGAGTTTATTAATTTGGGAGCTCTTCCTCATTTAAAGGTGCTATCGATGGTTAAATTGCCATTTCGACAATTCATCTTGCCGATTATGTGTGAGTTGGTTTATTGTGGGAAATCAATCAGATCAAATTTGAGGACATTGGATATCCCCAGTTTGTACTTCAACTTGTTGCTTGATCCGTACTGGCAATCAAATGCATTGGAGTCTATTTATGCTTGGTATCAAATGAGCCCCAAACATATCAAAGTAGATGGTCCACGAGCTAATAGCTGTTTAGCAGCGGGATTCCTTTTACCCAAAGTTGCTAGTTTGGAGTCAGTCCTCGATGACTACTTGAAATTGTTAGCTATGGATGTCACTTTGGTTAAGACCATGCTGGAGGTGAATATAGTCGAAAACATATTGACCAAATTGAAAAGTCATAGCCAAAACCCTGTGATCCAAGTGCTGCTTTTGAAAATTTTGAAAATAGTCATGATTAACGTGGTCATTTCTGGTTTCAATTGTCATATTCAAGAGAATGAGGAGAAGGTGATGAAGCTGGTTATTGATTCTTTGCAAAACTTGCCCTTACGTCAAACCTCACTATTGGTTGGAGAGATTTCGACTGAGATAATGAATTTAGTGTTTGCTCGATGAATGCTGCTGTACGGCTCTATATAGCTAACGAATAATGGTAACTGAAATTGGATTGTAGCGGGAACTTAGTTAAGGTCCTCCCTAAACAAACTGAACTTTTGCTACCAAAAGGCTCCAGGGTAAAAGGTAGCGCCGGTTTCTTTTCTCCAGATTTATCCTCTGATAAAAAAAATTGACTCGAGTGGAGAAAAGGAGCCCTCTCATTTTTGAGCAGAAAGAAGCCCATACAAGCATGTTTCCTATACCTTACCCCTCTCCGCGGGTATCTCAACTAGACGCAAACATCTTAGACTCCGAGTTATTTACCCTTTTGAAAGACCAACTATCTTCAATATTCCAACTTCATGAAAACAACAATTCAATAGCTAGTAAGCTATCATATAATCGCCATCCCGAAACTTATTCACTACTTTTAAACTTGCTCATTTTTAAATTGACAGTTTGGAAATCGGGTGCTTCGTATGGGTCATCTTTGCAAAATTTGAAACTTACTGATTCGCGTACAGGGAAAGTCATTGGGCTTAATAAAAAGGGAATCTTGTTGGCTGCGTTAGTAGGGACCTATTTGTATAAGAAGGTGGAAACAGCACTTTACCAAGTTAATGATGTCTCGGACGGAAGCAATGATGACAGTGGCTTGTTTCAAAGGTTAAAGAATGCCATCCTCAATAATCGAACGGCAATTTTGACAAAGATTGATAACATATTGAAGACGGTAAATTTGCTCAATTTTACTGTGTTTTTAGTTAGTGGGAGATATCCATCCATACTACACCGATTGCTTGGTATTACAGAGACTCCAATAGTTTCCGACTTGTTGAAATTCAATGGAAGTAATGTCAATTATGAGTTTCAAAATCGACAATTGGTGTGGAATGTGATGACGGAATTTTTAGTGTTTCTTTTACCGTTATTGCAATTGCGCAAGATTTCCAAATTCACCAAAAAAATGTATCATAGAGCCAATGGACCCAACGCAATTGAACCAGGGAATACCAAGCAGTTGACTCCTTACACCAATTTGCCAGTACTGGAATGTGCCATTTGTCATTATAATAATCACCAAGCCGCACAGTCAGGAGGCCGTGTATTTACAACAGCCGGGCCAGTGACGAACCCGTGTATCACAAACTGTGGCCATGTTTATTGTTATGTATGCATTGCTACTCAATTCAATGTGATGAAATCAAGTGGCGATGATGTACCATGTTTAAAATGTGGTACCAAATTAGAGTGGTTTAAAGAGTTTGAAGCTGATGAAAAGGCCATTGACGTTGATGCGATTACGATAAAAATGGACATAGATGGTGATGATGAGGCGAAAGAGGACGATGACGAGGATGACAAAAACGAAGAAGAGCAAAAGCAGGAGAAGGAAACTGGCAGGGACGATTCTGATGATAATGATAGTATTGAGAGTGGTTCGAGTTATGAAATAGCAGAGTATTCTGAAAAGCCAACGGGTGTTAGGATTGAAAGAAAACGTAGTAGTGTGCTGAATATATTTCAGGATGAAGAGCTGGATAGTTTGAGTGAGGATGATTACAGCGAAGAAGAGGAGATAGATGCTGACGAAGCGATGCTATAATACTATATAAGCTCTAATAAAATCTTTGAACCTTTATCCTCCTTTGACATGTTTTTCTGTTTCTTTTTCAATTGTTGGTGTAATGTCTTAGTTTTGTTTGATTTTGCCAATTGCAAAACTTCATATGCCGAGACTAAAACAAATGCCGGCTGTCCTCTGGTCCAATTGGTCAATTGATTATTGTTTAAAATCTCATCCACTGTTTTCTCGGCGAATTCAACGCCAACACCGGGTATTTCTACGGCATTTTCAAGTTGAATCAATTTCTTTACATCATTGCTGAATTTGAATTGGTTTCCGTGCATCAATGCTTTTACCGATCTCGATATAAATGGTGTTTTGTTTAATAAATGATAGTCTTCCAATACGTCTCCCTTGATGGTTTTGTCAAAGACTGCTTCCAATAATTGTGGTCGGTATTGAGAATTAACTTTATCATTGGAGGTTGGAGTAATCAAAAGATCAGTGATGAATTGGGCACCAATATTTACTGATAACAATTTATTGATTTCCTCGCTATCAAGTAATGCCTTGTAAATAGGTTCAATTGATTTATCAAACAACTCCTGTCTCTTGACTTCTTTATCCTTCTTTGATGTCTTTTTGTAAGCCAAGTCCTGGTACTTCAACAAAGCCTGTTTGACATTTGGAGCAAAGTACTTTCCATCTAATCCTCTCAATATGTACAAGATTGGTCTTCTCGAAAACTTATCTTGGACTAATGGAGGAAGCTCTTCGGCAGTAAACATTTCACTGCAGAATGACTTATAAGTCAACACTGTGTCATCGACTGCCATGAACAATGTAATGAGAACAACATTTCCATATTCGTTCTTGATTAATTCCTGCCTATGTGCTTTTAAACTCTTGATAATCCCCTTTCTCTCCTTTGCATTGGCCAAAGCAATTAAATAACACGCAACTTCCGATCCTTCTTGAGTGTGCACCAATTCGGCAAATTGTTCAGCTAACAAATCAATAAAATCCCTGATTGCGGAGTCATTTGCGTCTATATCCTCAACCAATATGCTAACGTACTCTTTCATTGCCGCATGTAAGATTTGGAACCCAGTTGATCCTTTTTCGACTGAGGGTTTAATAGTTCCATACAAGTTTTGCATAATCAATTGCTTCTTTTCCGAGGATTCTCTTATAATATCAACAACTGTCTTACCTTTGCCTGAATCTCTAAACACGGCGTATTCACTTCCCCAGAACTCCCTAATCATTTGCTGCTTTTGTGCTGCAGTAGAATACAATACAAACAAATCTTCAACAACGTATGCACCTTCTCTATGTCTCATCAACTTACGAAGCTTACCGTGTAACTCGTTAACAATGACTGCTCTAGCTTCCTTAGAACCGTAATGCAAAATCTTGATGAGCAAGTATTTACCATACGCAGAAGTGGCGAGTTGATAGAACGAACCTTTTAAAGCATCAACGATCTTGTCTCTTCTCTCTTTGCTGGAGTATTTAATCAATGTTTGCACCACTCTCGATGCATCGTGTTTTAACACCAAGTCATTAATGACATCATGAGATAATTCCCATATTTCATCACACAATTTATCACGTTGTGCTTTTGTTGGTGCTGGTTGGTTGACTCTCAATTTCTCCCATAATCTCTTGATATCCTGAACTTTGGCTCCCGATTTTCTTTGTAGTTTTCTGTCACTTAATAACTTCTTTTGTTCACTGTGCTGTTCTTTGGATGTCTTTTTATTTGGGTCAACTGTAGAGGTTTCACCTTCCACAACCACTTCGTCTTCCTCACTCAGCTCTTCTTTATCCAAATCATCCAAGTCATCCAAGTCATCCAAGTCGTCTTCTGATGACTCGGCAGGAGACTCTTCTTCTTCCTCATTCTCGCTTACTGATAAATCTGAATCAGACAGCTCTTGAGTAATTGGCTCTTTGTTGTCTAATTTCACCCTCTTTGTATTTGAAGCTGCTACTGCTTCATTTTGGCGCTTGGCACCTTTTAACTTGTTTCCCATCTTTTGGTAATGTAGTACTGGATGAGATGAGTTGGGGAGTCTGTTGCAGAAAGATTAGCTTAGTTTAGTTTCGAGATGCGATCTCATCTCGCAATTGGAAAAAATTAAAAAAAATTAAAAAAAAGAATTGTAGTTACTTCGCATCAGGCTACCAGATGAGATCAAATGGAAAGTACTGGAAGTAATCTAATTTCACCTTTGGAAAAATAGCAATAGAGTTAATGAAAGCATGAGTGAGTGAATGTGAAGGACCGGTGATTTTGTCTTAGAAGTGAGTTATGAAGCCTTTGAAGTCTATAGGGGGTGCAGTGAAATACCAGCTTGCTGCAAAATATTGGCGGTGAGTGCTCGATGATTACCAATTCGATTTTTAACTCAACGATACAACAATGATTCATTTTATGTTGTTGTTAATGAAGGTGGTCAAAGTGTTGCCTATGAAGAAGGAGTGATTTTTGCATTACCCGGTACAAGTGAAAAGGGATCAACCGAGGTGGTTGTGGGGATAAACACTTCTGATGGTCATTCTTCATCTCCACCATTGTCTCAACACCCATCAATTGGATTAATGGTTATCTTTATTGAAAGTTGGGAAAAAGATTACTTTGAGCCAATTTTATCAGCTTGTAACCCAACGCATTACCAGTATCAATGTATTGCCAAATACTCACCCACACTATCACACAGGATCAAGAAAAGCTTACTCAATGCCGATAAGTCACACAGGGCCAATAAAAAAGCTACTCATTGGCTTTACAATAAGTCGTCGCTCAGTCGTTATTTGACCACTTCAGCTCAAGCAATTGATACCAGCAAAGCAGGAGTCAAATCGAGAGCGTTGCCCGAATACATCGAAACCGTGATCAACCATCGTGATACCGTTGAATCAACAGTCGATGAAGTTTATAACCATGATTTGCTCCATGCTGAACGCTTAACCAAAAAGTTCGATTTAGGATTAGTCTCCGAGGGTGGTCATCCTTCGTAATGAGACCAAGAATGGCAAGATCACAATCCACAAAGCTTATCAGTAAATACAGCAGGACAATTTAAATGTATCGGTAGCTAGTAAGTGATATATATTTATGAATGTCTAGAATATACTACTTCAATAAAAGGTTTTGATGGTCAAGTTTTTGCAACAAAATAATTCCTCTTTAATTTTAAAGTCGCAAACAATCATTGTCGTGATAAATTTTTTCAAGACACATCTATCAATAAAGCACAGAGAAGGGTCCAATAAATGTCAACCTTTATTCAAAAAAAACTAATAAAAACTAAATAATATCTCTAACTAAACACTTCCGATTCTCTTTCTCTTGATCAATGACAAGAGGAACAAAAACAACAAATCAATTTGGTCTTTAAACATAAATAACAAACCTTGAACGAAAACCCCCTTTAACAATTGTGGACGAATTCCCTTGTACAACCCTTTAAACTTTTCAGTCTTCCATAAATGAGCTAAAGCGTGCGTAAAATGATCAAACTTGATATCTTCTTTTTCATCTTCATATTCACCAAACTCGTTCTTCTTATGGCCCTTGCCTTTACTCTTTTGTAATAATGCCTTACTGACAATAAGTGGCTGAGTGGCAATAGTGGCCAAACTCTTGGCCAAAACTCCCAATGAAAAACTTTCCAAAGGATTCAAAAATTGTTTACCTCCATAGATTATTTCCTTCAACCTTTCATATGAACCATAGGTAATTGATGGGTTGATACACAAAACCAATGACACCCTCAAACCTCTCCATAAACCAGTTATACCATCTTCTCTCAAGATTTCCTTGACCAATTGCAAAGCGCTTCTATGATGTTTATCAGTTTGTTGTTGAGTCGTTACAACACCAATCGGCATTGTAAAACATTGACTGATAGCCGCAGCAACAGCACCGAGGAATAGTTCAGTCAATGTGGTTGGTTTGTGGTTGGGAATGTTCTTGTACAAATTAGCATACACCTTCTTGACAATCGTGTACCAGTAAAAGTAACTGAAATTTTGGGCAGCAGTTCCAACCACAGTAGAGAGGAGGCCTTGGTACCATCCAATAATTCCCTTTTTCTCGTATATTTTTTTAAGAACGTCAAGAGTAGTTTTATACTCCAACTCCTTGTTGTTTTCATTTTTAACCTGCGTTTGGATAATTGTTTTGGAGAGATCTATGGGGTAAACAAGCGTATTGGCGACAGCTGATGCCAAAGCACCTGATGCCGCCTTCTCAATGGGTGAAAGACTCATGCTGGGTTACTATTGGGGATAGTTAGTATCGATAAATCAAAATGAAAAATAGCCTCCGGTCACACACACACACACACACACACACACACACACACACATATATATATATATGGACCAGAGCATTCACGGTTTAAGCTCCAGTGGGACTTTTAAGTTGAGATAAATCGGCAACTTGTGTTTCTAGGCGGCTGGTCTTAAGAAATATAACGTACTTGTTGGGGTTTCTGAAGCAAATATCAGATGTCTCTTTGCAAACTTGTGTTTATAAAAAAGTATAGGAAAAGATGTGGTTTTGTCAATATGTTATTTTTTTGTAGATTTTTGATAATCTTTTATTCTAAAAAACGAGAAATGTGATTTCACTAGCGGAGTTAAACCGTTAAGAGAGAGAGCAAAAAACAAAATACAAGACATTGAAAAAGAAAAAGACTCTACACGTTTCTTTGGTCCTTCTGTTATTGACAGGTTTGGACTTTCATGGCTACTTCATCAGTCACGGTATACACCACATTAGATCTAGAGTGACGCCCTCTATATCATAAACAGGAGTTTGGTTGTCTAAACTTTGCTCTTGCCTCTATTGGGTCAATAATATAAAATCATACTGTGAAACTTTTTTGTCTTTTGTTTATTTTTCTCTTTTTGTTGTTTTCTGTTTAATCCCGACAACGTCCCACACTTTGACAAAAAATGGGTTTCTTTTCTTTTAATTCTTCTTTTGTGGTTACCGAGGGTAAATTAAAATCCAAAAGGAAGAAAAACTTTAGCGCGAAAATGGAAAAACCCCACATTTTGATTTTTTGGTTTTTTTGGATTTTTTTGTTTTTAAAGAAGTAGAGCTAACAAAATGTGCGGTGGAAAAAAAACAGAAATCCTTTTTTTCTAGTGAGAAGACTATGTAGACACCAACTGCAACGACTGCAACGACTGCAACGACAAGTAGAGCCATTCTATGGGACTGGTGATCTTCTACTGTGTTGGAAGATGCCAGTGGCCTCCTCTTTCCTTCCCTCTTATACCATTTTGTAGGTGAAACTGTTGCAGAGAAAAAGAAAGGACTTTTTCTTTTTAGTCTCGATTCCATTCCACCACACTTTTGTTGCCCGAATTTTATCTAACAAGGAATTTATTGCAACGTTTTTCTTTTTTTCCCTTGTTTTTCCTTAACCGATTCTGAGGTAAAAAGGTGGGGAGTGAACTGGAAAGATTGATGGGGTTGTTTCCGGGGGTAATCACCAATCAGTACATAGGGACAATGGTTTGGGGTTACATTTGGGAGAGATCTACTCTCAAAGCCAACTCTGTATATAGAGTTTAAATGGAAAAGTAGGCAAAGCCATAATATCTAGTGCATTTTCACCTCTATAAACACTATATCCTGGCTATACCACCAATCAAAATTCTTTCCACCTTATCATTTCCGTCATCATACTCCTGAGTTAGCTGAACCAAAGGGTTGAAAAAATAGTTGACAACAACTTTTCTCACTGCGTACTTCACCTTCAACATTGCATTAATCACCCACGAATCACCACGCTCAAAATCACGGCAATGGATTACATCGTTTTCATAGAAATGCATTACAGGTATTGCTTCTGTAGTTCCCGGTATCTTGTCAACGATTGAATCGATCAACCCCTGACTCATTTGAACTTCTTCCATGAATCCAAACCGTACAATACACTTGTAATGACCTGGTAATTTCATTGGCACTAGAACAAAACGTTGCTGCTGCTCACCGATATAGGGAATGGAAAGTACACGGACTCCAACAAACACCAAGCTGTTGGGAATCGATGCGAAATGCTGAACAATTTTGGCATATAATTGCGGCAATGTGTTGGGGCTGTTGGTGAGTAATGAGTTGACATACATGAATCCGACACCAAGGTGTTTTTGCAAAACCTGGGGTCCATATTTGGTCACCACTTGGTTCTTGGGTTGTGGGTTAACAATGACCCTTTCCCTTGGCCTACCTCTTGCATCTTCACTACCTAAATCAACCTGCACATTACCGAGATCAACGGTGACCGATTTGGCTTGAAAATATGGATACAAATCACCGATTTTGACCTGTTGACGCAACTCTTGATTCACTTTTTTTGATCTTGCCCATCGCCAAATTGTGAGGAATGTACCAAACAACACCGCCATCATTAAGGGGAACCACGCACCATGCGGTACTTTTTTCAAATTGGCAATAACTAAACAAGCTTCCAAGGGGATGAAGATTAACCCAAATACAATAGGCCATATGATGTTGGTATTGTAAACATAAAACAAGCAAAGGATAATCAAGGACGACGTGACAATCAAGTCAAGTGAAATACCCAATCCGTAAGCGGCAGTGACATTATTACTATTTTGGAACCCGGCAGCAGTAGCCACAACACCGATCATCAACAACCAATTGACAGCAGGGATGTATACCTTACCAGCATAATGGTGCGATACATGAACAACTCTCAATTTGGGGAAACAATCGAGATTAATCAATTGGGAAGTGATGCTAAACACGGAAAGTATCAATGCTTGTGATGCAATAATACTGGTTAAAGTGGAAAGCACAAACATGATCCAGTATGCAGGAGATCCGGTACCGCCAGGTAATGAAATGAAAAATGGGTTGACAACAGCATCGGGGTGTTTTACCAAGTATGCCCCCTGGCCCAAGTAGCATAGTATCAATGCTGGATAAACAAAGAAGCTCAATGTCAATTGAATGGGAAGTTTACCAAAATGACCAATATCAGCAAACATTGCTTCGGTACCTGTGATGGCCAACATAGCTCCACCAAATACGTCAATACCACCATTGCGCAATATTCTGATGGCATAGTAAGGAGATAATGCAGCAAAGATACCTGGGTGGTGAACAACAATGTTGTAAATACCACAAATGATTAATCCAAAAAACCAAATGCAAACAATTGGAGCAAATGTAAAACTAATCTTTGTTGATCCAAAACGTTGAATGAAAAAAAGCACAACCAAGATGACTTCAGAGACAGCAAGGACGTTGTTGAAACTGGGTACAGCAATTTGAATACCGCCAATTGCACTTAGCACTGAAGTAGTTGGAGTCAATAAACCATCCGACATGACCAACGAACAACCAAAGAAACAAGCACCAAGAATAAATGTTTTTATTGCCTTGATTATAATCGGGTGCTGTTTGATCTGTTCAATTCTTGAATGGATAGTGTCAGTTGACATTGAGGTATCTTGTCTGACAAGAACTTTCAAATCCAGCAAATCATCACCATCAGCACCATCAGCACCTCCACTTTTCTCACCACCAGGAATGATGACACCCTTTGGACCAATCTTCAAAAATCGAGCAATCTTGGCATAGATAGCAACTTGGCCACCTTCACCATTATTGGGTCCAAAAACCAATACAATGCAAACATATTTAAAAATGACGATGATGGTGAAGACATAAAAGATAATGGAGACAGCACCATAAACATCATCTTTATCTGGCGGTGATTGTGAATACTTGATTGAATTCATGGTGTATAATGGCGATGTACCTAAATCACCGTATATTGCACCTAATGAGGAGAAAGATAACAAGAAGATTTCTCGCCATGAACGTTGTTTTGCATGAGGAGGAGCTTGTTGTTGCGGTGGCTCAGATGATGAATCGATAGATGACTCTTCATCATTGTATTCACTATTGACTTCCTGATAGATTTCATCAGTGTTTACCGATTGATTCATGGATGTATCGAATTCTCCTTTTGCAGTTGACATTTGGTCAAGTAAAGCTGATTCTTTAACTGCTATTTGGAGGGAGGGGAAGAAAAAGGAAGAAAGAGAGGAGCTCTAGCTTTATATACTTTTTCGTTTATCAATAGAAAGCTACAATCGTCGTGTTACACCTGGGAAGCAAGCCCTTACCCTAGGGCTTGCTTCGTAGTACTCGCATAAAGTGACTGCTAAAAAAAGACAACCTTTTGTTAGACATGTGTGGAATTTGAGATACGAAATGAAAATGAAAATGAAAAAAAAAAAAATTAAAAATCCCTCAAGCATTTTGTGACAGAAACAAAAAAGAAAATGCTTGAGGGGCTATAAGTAACATAATACATATGCACAATGCAAATAAGACAGAGATTAGGGGTGAGTACGTAAGTGCTTTGTATGTGTGTACTGAAAATGAAGCCACTTGGTTATTGTAGATGCAAGGTCATATATCTTTAGCGAAATTCAATTGTATTCTGGTGACGTAGTTTCTTTTCGTATTGTTTGTAACATCTACTTGTTCATCTTTTGAGGGATTTTTTGCCTATTTTTTTTACTATGCAAACAAAAACACAACAAGTAGCTATAGTTGAAGATTGATTGTACCTGTTTTGATCTTTAAAAGTTGTTTTCTGCGTCTATTTGACTAAAGGTAGCGGCGTTTTTTCTGCTACAAAGCTCATATATTTACATATCTCACCAATAGTTAAGCCATCACTCTTATAATCCATGGCTACTGTACAAGGATAGAAAAGTGGTTGCTTATGTGAAATGTATTTTGATTCTGTCATAGCCTCACAGATAATCACAAACAAAAGACAAACAATAAAATGAAATGAAATTAAAAAAAAAAATCCCTCAAAAAACAAGTAACAAAAAACAAGTAACAAAAAAGAGACAAAATCTATTTTTTATTGTCTAATTTTTTGCTTCATTGGGGAATTCTCATGTGGCACTCTACATTTCCGTAATAAAGCACATGCCTCTTACCACGCCTACTCTTTCCAAAAGAAAAATTGTGTGTGTATGTGTGTTTAAGAGTAGCCACACGTCTTGCCAATGCCTGTTGTGATAATCTCGTTTAAGCTTTTTGGAGTATGTGTGCCAACCAATTTCATTTTTATTATTTTTTTTTATTTTTATCTTTTTCCTTTTTTTTGCAACCAACCACACACATCAAATACCAAAGACTTTGTAGATTTGTTGAAAACACTGAGGTGAATAAGCACCCTCAAATCTGCCATAGTATACGTACCATTTCAGAGATACTCTTGTTAATAGAACAAAAAAAAAGAGAAAAAAAATCAAAGAAAATAATCAAAAGTTGGCAAGGGGAACAAACAATCATTCCTTCGATGAAAAAATCGAAAGAAAAAAATTAAAAAAAAAAAAATGAAAATCCCTCAAAAGATCACCAAACAAAATATCAACAAGTAAACAAGTAAGTAGTAAATAATTGTAACTAATTATAAACCTATCTATACCAAAAAATAGGAGTAAGAAGGACGATAGGGTAGATCTTATATATTATATCATGCGACATCACATATGCATCTTGTTTTAAAATTATTTCACACACACTTTGTTTGGGCAAAAGTAACGCAAAATATTGAGACTACAATTCATTTTACCACTTGGATGGCGCAGCAAAACAAGCTACTATTACACCGAATGTTTGTTTTGACGAAGCTACTATTGGTTGTAGATTATAAAGTACATGCCACGTATCTGAGTTGACAAATTCTAAAGGGCACTTATATCTGCAGACAATGCTCATTGTTGAAATCAAAAGTGTAGAGGGTGGCAGCAAAATTTAATGTGTCAGTTACGAACCTCTCATCTTCTCTTCACTCATAGACATACAGATGTGTAATAGGTTAAAATAAAATAGGTATTCCCCTGCCGAATTCAGATACAGCAACTTATTCATTTTCACGACTACAGTCTACACAGAACCCACCAGCACAAATAGAAACATATTCTTCAACATGAAACACCCACACAGGAAAATTACATTTAAGATCACAAGGACAGCACCAATCACAGCTTTATGAAATAAAGCTTATTGCATCTAAACCTAGACTCCTTTCATATAACTTAGCTCATACGGCTTCCTAATACGTAGCATGAGTCCAAGTGCGGCTTTTACCATTTTTGCAACGACGCGTCCTTTTATTGTCTGGATCGTTTTTTACGCGATTTCCAATTTTGTTTTTTTTTTTCCATCCTTTTATCCATTAAAGAAACTGACACAACCTACAATCACTACCACCATCGCTCCCTCCCCCCATGTCTTACAAGAAGATATCTATATTCCCCGACGGCAACTCGTATGCTTACTTTGATCATCGCCTGGATCGATTGGTAATCGCCAATAGTGAAGGTATTATCAAAGTAGTCAATGTGGAGGATTTCGATTCTCAGCCAATATCCATCGATTCCTTACAAAATTTAACTTCGGTTTCGTTTCATAATGATACTTTGGCAATTACCACCACTGAAGGTAAATTAGAGCTTATAGATTTATTGAAGCATGAATCCCTGGGTGTGATATTCCGATCTGAATTACCGTTGCGCGATCTATCATTTATAAATCAAGGAAATCGAATACTCTGTGGTGGTGATGACAATAAATTGGTTATAATTGATTTGCAAAATAACAACCAGTACAAGACAATTACATTACCTGATCAGTTGTTGAATATTGCTTATGACCACACGGGAGAGTTGTGCAGTGTTAGTTTATCAAATGGTTCAGTACAAATCTATTCTGTATTCAATGAAGAATTAAATCTATCACACACATTGGACAACGTTATTGATAAAAAAGTAAACTTGTCCACTGACAAGATAGACTTCAATAATGAGCATAACGATGAATTATATACATCAAAGACTCAATGGTCAAAAGATGGACAGTTTTTATTGGTCCCTTCAATAAGCAATACCGTTCAAGTTTATCAAAGACTGGATTGGTCTAAAGTGAGGCAATTTCCCAGTGATTCCAAAATCATCGACTACAAATTACTTGCTGATAAGTTGGCAATCTTGACCTTAAACACTTATAAAGTAGTCAATTTCGATTCTGCAAGCACAGTACACGAAGATGACTTTGAATTGAATGAGGATGCCTTACCTTTGAATATCGAATGGGAGAACAAAACTAGCCTATTGATTGGTAGTACATATGGAGACATTTTGCGGTTAAAAGAAGTTGTCAAGGATATTGGGGGTGATACAAACACGGCAGCAAGTTTGTTTATGGATGATTTGGAAGAAAGTGATGACGAATTTGCCAAGAGTGATGATCAAACAGAAGTAAACCAACTATTGCACCGTGAAGAAAGGGTTAATGGCGACACCAATGGCAAGCGTTTGTTTCTTGATGATGACGAAGAGGAAAACTCAATATTAGATGACGATGACAACCACACATATGTTAGACACTCCCACAATGGATTCAAAAAGCATAAACCCACAGCGCCGGCACCAATTAGAAGCTATGCTCCCATCAGCAAGATAATCCCGTATTCCCCGGGATCGACTCCATTTGTAAACAAGGGAGAAGCTGTTGATAGAAGATATTTAACCATGAACAATATTGGGTACGCTTGGATTGTGATAAATAAAGATCCAGGAACCACAAACAGCATTACGGTGTCATTTTTTGATCGGTCATTAAATAGTGAATATCATTTCACCGATTATCAAAAGTTTGATCTTGCTTCATTAAATCACAAGAGTATTGTTTTAGGTGAGAGTAGCAAAGGATCCATTTTTTACAAGTCACATAACGATATGGGTAATGAGTCATGGGAGAAAAGTATACCATTAATCAAGGGAGAAGAGTATTTAACGAGCTTGTGTATCACCAATGCTAAATCCAATGGCAACAATATCATTGCCGTGGGTACTAATTTGGGATATTTGCGTTTCTTTAATGAATATGGAATATGTTTAAATGTGATAAAGACAGTCCCCATAGTATCGTTGGCTACTTCGTTTAGTGGAATAATGTTAATGGTTAATCAAGTCACAGCCAATGTTTATTCTTACTCGATACTTGACGTTTATCAAGATTATAAAATAATTCAGCAAAATTTTCCAATCCCATTAAAAGAGGTTGCCAGCCACAAAAGTCAATTAATCAAAGGTATCTTCTTTAATGAATACAATGATCCTTGTATTGTTGGAGGATACGATGATACATTGCTTGTATTACAATCGTGGCGAGAGACGGGAAATGCCAAATGGGTCCCCATATTGAATTTACACAACGCCATAACTGAATATCAAATGAATGACAATAAATTGAATTGGTCGTGTTGGCCATTGGGCGTAATTAATGATTCGCTTAATTGTTTGATTTTGAAAAATGGCGGATACCCGGGGTTCCCCTTACCTCTCCCAGTGGAGATTGATATTGAAATACCCATCAAATTGGGTCCTGGTGCAGAACCGCAGCAAAAGGAAGAAGATGATTGTGAAGAACAATTCATTCGCTCATTAACCATGGGTAAATTACTAAGTGATACTCTTGCCAACTATGAAGAGGAACAACCAGGAGAAGATATAGATCAGGATACCATTATCACAAAATTGAACCAGTACAGTACCGTGTTTGATAAATCATTGTTGAAATTGTTTGGTGAAGCTTGCAAACAACTGAAGTTAAACAAAGCATATAGTATTGCCAAATTGATCAAGACTGATAAGGCATTATTGGCCGCTAGTAAGATTAGTGAACGGATGGAATTTTTAACGTTGGCTAGTAAGATTGGACAATTGAGAGAACAATTGTTGGTTGATTTGGATGATGATTAGGAAGACGAAGTGAAAGAGAGAGCTTTATGCGTGAACCTTTTTTACTTGATGATGACGCCTAGTGTTTAAACAAAATGAAATCATTTTATTACATCTATATACAAATGAACGTAGCCATGGCTTCTCTTCCGTTTAGAAAAAGCGGCAAATCTATGAAATCATCCTCACTGCCTTTCACTTTCACTGTTGACATCACTGCAAAGAGTGTTTCACATTAACCACAAATGAGGGCGGTATGATACCCACAGTTCATCCCTTTTCTTGTTCTTTCACTATGAGCCACTATGAGCCACTATGAGCTACTTTACTTAAGTTGTCTTTGAACAAAGTGGAAAACAAGTGGACTGACCCACAAGACACCAGCAATGATACCAGCTAACTTCAAAGTGTCGTAAGCATATTGTTCTTGTAATTTCTTTTGTTCTTCACTTGGTGGTGGACCTCCGTACATTGTTGATTATAAGTAGTAGTAGTAGTAACTATTAGTTGACTTTGTTGTTGTGATTCTGACTGAGATCTGATTTCTTTTTTGAAGAAATTTTTTTGTTCTTTTCTTTTTTTCGCTTTTCTTTTTTGACAGAATGAAAAAGATGTATGTAGGTATGTATGGTATGGTCACACGTTTTGCAACTTTTATTAGTGTTATTCATCACATCATGTAAATGTATGACGAACACAGTTTGCTCAAGCAGAAAGTAACATCTTCTAGCAGTGGTATATATCTACTCTTAAATACTGACAGTATCTGATGGTATTTTATCTTTCATGAATTACTATTACTATGATGTCACATTATTTTGGTTTATTGTTTCACACACGACTGAAAAAACGAAAAGAGAATATAGAGAATTGAATCTTTCTTTCATCAAGAGCCTATGTCTGTTAGGTGTGAACGCTTGAGTTTATGAAATCACTAGGAAAGCTACTGGATTGAATGAAGTACAATATAATGAGTATGATTAAACACTTTATACCAATTGTTAAAACTTCTCTTAATTTGTTAAACTTTCCTAAAATTGTAACTAAGACACTTTTTCATCCCTATTTATACTACAGGAGGTTTACCACACAGAATATATATATATATATATATGCATATATGTCTCTTACAACTACTGCTTACCTCAACAGCACCTATTAATTGCATTCCAAGGAAGGATAGTTGGTAATATATATATGGCAATTAGTGATTCGCCAAACTTCAAGTGTTGCTTAGTGGCATACAATATGTGAGGAACGATGGAAATTTTAGATTGTTTCTTACTTTACGGGCACGTCAATGGGCTCAGCAACTCTAAAGGCTTTTCACATAAATTACATTTTATAAACAAACTATGTAAAGTATATGCAACAAAGTCTATCCGCTACTTGATATCAAATACGGATTTCAATTTTTTAATCAATAACCAATCGTCTCTCGAAACGGTATCTCTGAAAGCGGGGTCCTTCAACGTGTCAATTGATTTACGACTGATCAAAGAGTATAAATTGTCGCTCTCATCAACATGACGGCCCCAAGTAGGTTGTGCCGATGATGGGTTGTCTAATCTCATTGCCACACCAGCTGCAGTTTGACCCTTCTTTACTGAATCAGCTGGTTTGTGGTTAACTTCCAATGATGTCACCTTACCCAACACCATTACATTTGGCTGCTTGGTTACAGGATCTTGACGCACAGCACAGATGGGAGTACCAATACGTACAGCACCTTCAAGAACATCAACACCAATAATCATAGGATTCCTCTTGTTGATGATTTGAATAGTCTTCAAAACACATGGCAAAACAGCATACTCCATAAATTCTTTACGACGTGCTTCCAATAACTTGCTTTGGTATGCAGTGAATGCATCAAACAAGTGATAGATAATATCAGCGTTGAAAATTTTGATATTGTTCTCATCAGCATAGTGTTCTGCTTCTTTGTCAACTTTAACATCAAAACACAACATTACAGCCAACTCTGGTGCCTTATCCAACATAGTAACTGCCTTCATGACATCCCTCTTGTACACAGGGCCCAATCCTATAGACATAACAGGGATCTTCATATCCTTTAAGAAATCCAACAAAGCTTCTAATGAACCCAACGTAGAAGCTTGGACGACAACACCTCTTCCAGAAGTATCCACTGAGTCCAACAATCCAGTCAAATCGTCCATAACTTCGTCCATCAAGTCCTCTTCATCGTCATCTTCGCCAACAACAAGCAATCTCGAACCAGCAACTGCTTTCTCCAAATCATTAGCGGCAATCTTGACACCCAATGCTGCTTTGACTTCTTTATGATGAACATATTCAGACTTGATACGTAACTCTCTTGATGGTGGCGGTGTTAAAAGGGCCCTTATATTCGTTGCTATAGGACCATTCAAACCACACAATACGATACGGTCACCCTCTTTCAATATACCATTTGATAGCACCACATCAATTGTGTATCCGAAACCTTCGACAACCTTAACTTCCAAAATCGTGGCCGCAATCTTTGACAAGTACATCAATTGCTTAGACATTCTCTTTTGGGTCAACTCTAACAACAACCACAATAAATCAGGAACACCTTCTCCGGTCACTGCCGAGGTTGGCACTATTGATACATATTTGGCCATGTTTTTGTTTTGATAGTACAACTCAGAATTCAAACCTTGTTCTGCGAGTGCTAACTTAATCTGCTCGTATCTGGTGTGGAATTCTTGCTGAACTGCTTTGGATTGTTTGGCATATGAGTCTCTAAAAGAGTTGTTTGGAATCTCTTTCCAGTCGTACAATCTATCAATTTTGTTCAATGCGACAACAAAGGGAGCTTTTCTATCCCTGAGAAGTCTTATAGACTCGATCGTTTGTTGTTCCAACCCATGCATAATGTCAATAACCAAAATAGCAATGTTACATAACGATGAACCACGTGATCTCAAGTTTGTAAAGGACTCGTGCCCTGGAGTATCGATAATCAATAAACCAGGCACTTCGAAAAGTTGTTTCTCATATTGGGCCATAACAGCAGTCTTTTGTTTGATAGCTTCAACTGGGAAGTATGTTGCACCAATTTGTTGCGTGATACCACCAGCTTCACCACCTTGAACGTTAGTTTGACGAATCTTGTCCAACAACTTGGTTTTACCAGTATCGACATGACCAAGAATACAGCAGATAGGCGAACGTAACTCTTTCTCAGGTGGACTGTTCTGCTTCTTCTGCAAACTTGCTTGTTGTTTCGCCTTCTCCTCTTGAGCTTGTCTTTCACGTTCTTCCTTAGCAGCAGCAGCAGCAGCAGCAGTTTCTTCGGCTTTCTTTTTCTTTTCGGCTTCTTCTTCAGCTTGATTTCCATCTTTTTCAGAGATTTCCTCTTCGGCATCGTCATTTTCCTCTTCTGCTTCTTCTTCTTCTTCTTCCTTTTCTTTTTCAGCAGCACCTTCCTCATCACTGTCCAAAGCCATCTTTTCCCAGTCATCAACTAAAGCCTCTTCTTCTTCATTATCACCCTCCTCCTTCTTTTTGGTGGTCTTTTCTTGCGGCTTTTGAGTGAATGTCTTTGGTTTTGTTGACTTTTTCTTACCGTAAACAACCTTCTTGGGTTTTGGTGTCTCTCCGTCGCTATCTTTTTGTAATCCAGGAACAATGATATTTCCAGCTTGTAGTAACTGAGCACGACGACGTTCTTGCAACTTCTTTTCCTCTTTTTGTTTCTTTGTCAACAATTTTCCTTCTGCCTTTAATTGTTCCTTCTTCAATCTCTCACGTTCCTTTTTAGCTGCTTTTGCTGCCTCTTGTTTAGCCTCTTCCTCTGCTGCCAATTTCTCTTCCTCTAACCTACGTTGTTCTTCCTCTTCATCTAACTTACGTTGCTCTTCTTCCATCTGTTTCTTTAATTCCAATTGTTTCTTTAATGCTGCAAGACCGGCTGGTGCTTTCTTTCCTTTTTTTGCTGGTTTAGGTTTCAGCTCTTCTTCGGCTTTGTTTTCCACTGGTTCAGGTGTAGCCGAGGCCGATGAAGACGCAGCATTCTGCTTATTGGCTTCCTTGATCTGTTCCTTCTTGTTTGCTTGCTGCTCTTTCTTCTTCTGAGCCATTTCCTTCTTCTTTTGCTTTTCAGCTTCCTTCTTTAACTTTTCTTTCTCCTTTTTCGACAAAATCTTGGCTCCACCTCCATTGCTTTCCTCTTTAGCTTTTTCTTCCTCCCTTTGAGCCTTCTTGCTCTTTGTCTTACGGATGGATCCTAAAAAGTCTCCGGTAATGTCGTCAGCAGATGCTTCTTCAGGTCCCGCAGATTCTGGAGCCTCTTCAGATGTAGCTTCTGTGACTCCAAACTCTTCAGCTTGTGGTTGATCATTCAACATCTCCTCATCATCCCAAATGTCTCCTCCTGCTTTCTTGCTGTTCTTTTTTCCCATTGGTGAAAATGTGTACTATATGGGATCAAATAAAGTCCTTGTATGTAATTGCCTCTTCTTTTACAAAATCCAGCCTCAAAGATTTTTTTTAATTTTTTTCTTTTTTTGTAGTTTTTTTTGCAAACTATACTGTTGTATGGATGCATACGAAAGAAATTTTTCAGTCATACTCACACGACTGTGCAAAGCTCATCTATATATGACATCAAAGGTTTTTCAATTGTATTTCCTGTTACAACAGTTTAAGCATCCCACCCAAAACGCAACATATCCTAAACCAGCAAGATGACTACCGTTGAAAAGATCAAATCCATCGAAGATGAGATGGCCAAGACTCAGAAAAACAAGGCAACGTCTTTCCACTTGGGACAACTTAAAGCCAAGTTGGCAAAGCTCAGACGTGAACTATTAACAGACGGAGGCTCTGGAGGTGGAGGTGGTGGTATTGGGTTCGATGTGGCAAGAACTGGTGTAGCCACTGTTGGTTTTGTCGGATTTCCGTCGGTTGGTAAATCAACCTTGTTGTCAAAGTTGACAGGTACTCACTCTGAAGCAGCAGCATATGAGTTTACAACATTGACAACGGTTCCCGGAATCATAAAATACAAAGGTGCTAAGCTACAAATGTTGGATTTGCCTGGTATCATTGAAGGTGCTAAGGATGGTAAAGGTAGAGGTAAGCAGGTTATTGCCGTTGCTAGATCTGTTAATCTTCTATTCTTGGTGTTGGACGTTAACAAGCCATTACAACATAAAAGAATCATTGAGCACGAACTAGAGGGTGTGGGTATCAGAATCAACAAAGAACCACCAAATATTGTCATAACCAAAAAGGAAAGGGGGGGCATAAACATCACAAGCACAGCGCCATTAACCCATTTAGACAACGACGAAATCAGAGCAGTCATGTCAGAGTATAAAATCAACAGTGCAAATATTGCCTTTAGGTGTGATGCAACAGTTGACGACTTGATTGATGCTATAGAATACAAGGCTAGGAAGTACATTCCCGCCATCTATGTTTTAAACAAAATAGATTCGTTTTCGATTGAGGAATTAGACTTGTTGACCAAGATCCCCAATGCAGTTCCCATATCTTCCGGTAACGGATGGAATTTGGATGATTTGTTGGAAGTCATGTGGTCTAAACTAAAATTGGTTAGAGTCTACACAAAGCCCAAAGGGAAATTGCCCGATTTCAATGAGCCCGTTGTCTTGAGGAGTGATAGATGCACAGTTGAAGATTTCTGTAACTCCATTCACAAGTCATTGGTGGAGGACTTTAGAAACGCTTTGGTTTTTGGAACATCAGTTAAACACCAGCCACAAATTGTAGGACTCAGTCACGTGCTAGAAGATGAAGATGTAATCACGATTTTGAAAAAGTAAATCTTAGATCTTGTGTATAGCCTGTTTTTACTGTACAATGTTTATACTTTTGTATCTGTGTATATCGCGATAAAAGGATAAAATAAGAGCAGTGCAAGGATTGTTTGATGCGTACTGTAAAGAAATATTTAGCACAATGGTGTTGACGTCGGTGTCTGTGTTGTATATGACCTGTGAAAATTTTAATTTCCTTTTGTCGTCTTCTAACAACAACAGTTTGAATTTTTTTTTTCTTTTTATTTTTTTTTTCATCTGTTGGATCAAAATTTACATTCCATCATTGAAACAGAGAGGGTTGATTTCAACGTTGATTTATATCGATCACAATATACCAGATTGTCCCCCTTGCATCTCCAGCTGAATTTTTTGTTTTGTTTGATTCAACCTTATCTTCATTTTGAATAAATATGAGTGTGTTACCAGCAGATGCCAACGCTGTCTTGACACATTTACTCGAAAATTTGTTGTCAACAGACACTAGCTCACGTGTAAATGCAGAAAAATCACTCGATCAGGAGTGGTCGACCAAACAGAATGTGGAACTTTTGTTAGTTTTCTTAGCCGAGCAGGCAACAGCGGGAGCCAATGACACCGTCAGGGCGTTCTCGGCTGTTATGTTTAGACGGATGGCCATTAAATCGCCAAAGGAATTATCTAGCGTGACTGATAGGACGATAGGAGTAATTGGAGATCCAGCTAAACAACAAATTAGAGCAATTTTGTTGCATGGGTTTTCAGCCCCACAATCGAATCAAATCAGACATAAGTTGGCCGATGCCATTTCCGAAGTGTCAAAGGACGACTGTTCGCCTCCAGGCACTTGGAACGAGTTGGTCCCTGCTTTGTTCCAAGCATCCAAAAACCAAGACCCAAGTTTCCGTGAGTCTGCATTTAGAGTGTTTTCTGCATCGCCTGAATTGGTCGATCAGTCATTTATAAATGAGGTCTTGCCTATCTACACTGCCGGTTTTGATGACGAAAACGATAATGTCCGTATTGCGGCATGCTCTGCTTTTGTTGCCTTTTTCAGGGAGTTGCCAAAGAACGTATGGCCTAGTTTGTCCCCATTGTTACCAAATTTGCTCAATTCTTTACCAAGATTTTTGCAAAGTGGGCAAGACGAAGCATTGGGATCTGTCTTACTATCGTTGGTTGACTTAGTGGAGCTTGCCCCCAAAATGTTTAAAGATATGTTCCCTACAATAATAGACTTTTGTGCAATGGTGTCCAAAAATAAAGATTTAGAGTCTTCGACCAGAATGGCATCGTTGGAGCTCCTCACAACTTTTGCCGAAGTTTCACCAGCCATGTGTAAGCGCACTCCATCATACACTGAACAAATTGTGCTTATTACTTTGTCGATGTTGACCGAGGTTTGCATTGACGACGATGATGCCGCGGACTGGAACAATAAAGATGACACAGAAGACGACGAGGAGGAGCTGGAGTACGATGCAGCTAGGCAATCATTGGATCGAGTAAGCTTGAGGCTCAATGGACAATCTTTGGCTGGTCCATTATTCCAGTATTTGCCCACCATGATGCAATCTCAAAACTGGAGGGAACGCCAAGCTGCTTTGATGGCATTATCTTCGGCAGCTGAGGGGTGCTCTGATGTCTTGATGCTTGAAATTCCAAGGATATTGGACATGGTTTTACCCACTTTGAATGACGACCATTCAAGAGTACAATACGCTTGTTGTAATGCATTGGGCCAAATGTCAACCGACTTTTCTGATTTAATTCAAAGAACGTCTGGAAATAGAATATTGCCAGCTCTTATATCAAAATTGACAAATAAGTCAGTTCCTCGTGTACAGGCACATGCAGCTGCCGCCTTGGTGAATTTCTCAGAGGCCGCTACAAAGGAGATTTTGGAGCCATATTTGGATGATTTGTTGAACAACTTGCTTGTTTTATTACAATCACCAAAGAGGTATGTGCAGGAACAAGTATTAACAACAATTGCCATAATCGCCGATGCTGCCGAAAAGACGTTTGTTAAGTACTATGATACCTTAATGCCATTATTGGTTAATGTGTTGAAGACAGATATGGGAGATGAAAATAGATTGCTCAAGGCCAAATGTATTGAGTGCTCAACATTGATTGCATTAGCTGTCGGAAAAGAAAAATTTGAACCACAAAGTCACGACTTGATTCAATTGTTGGGTCACATACAACAAACTGCCACTGCCGACGACGACCCAGTTAAACAATACTTGGAACAAGCTTGGGGAAGAATTTGCCGCATTTTGGGTAAAGACTTTTTGCCTTACTTGCCATCAGTGTTGCCTCCTTTAATGGTCACTGCGAAAGCATCTCAAGATATTTCTTTGTTGGAGGAAGATGAGGCAGAGGAGTACAATAATAACGAAGAGTGGGATGTCATTAATTTGTCAGGAAAATGGATTGCCGTTCACACTGCAGCTTTGGATGATAAGGTGACGGCGATGGACTTGTTGAGAACATATGCAATTCAGCTCAAGGAGGATTTCTATCCATGGGTCAAAGAGATTGCTGAAGACATTGCCTTGCCTGGATTAGACTTTTACCTTCACGACGGAGTACGTGGCTCTGCTGCATTGACCTTGGCCTCCTTGTTGAAATGTACAGTAGCAGCAACCGGAAAGGACTCGCAAGATACATTGCTTCTTTGGTCGAAAATTGCCGACAAGTTGGCTGAGGTTTTGAAATCAGAGCCGGTCCCCGAATTGCTTGTTGCTTATTATACTGCTTTGGTTGAATCCATCAATGCTTTGGCACCAAACTCAATTTCTGCACCGCAATTGCAAGCATTTGCCGTATCGATCAATGCCAACATGGTTGAGATTTATGAAAGAATAAAGGCTCGCGATAACGAAGATGATGAATACACCGAAGATGTCGAGGAAGACGAAGAAGAATATACTGACGAAGAGTTGTTGGATGAAATAAATAAAGCGATTTCAGCAATTTTCAGAAATGTCAAAGCCAACGCTTTGGAGAATTTCCAAGTACTCATCGTCACTGTATCGACATTTATCAACGAGGAAAACACCAGTTTGAAACTTTGTGGGTTATGCATCGTGTGTGATATTTTGGAGCACGGTGGACCACACTCTATAGTTTTCAAAGAATCATTCCTCAATGTGTTGGCTCATTCACTTTCTTCTCCGCATGCCGGAGTACGCCAAGCCAGTTCATATGCAGTTGGAGTTGCAGCTCAATATGGTGGTGAGGACTATGGAGAATTTTGCGTGCACTGTTTGCAGCCAATGTTCAAGATGTCGTCCGTACCAGATGCTAAGGCCGACGAAAATATTCATGCTACTGAGAATGCAACATCAGCAATTGCTAAGGTATTGCACACCTTTTCCTCATCAATACCTAACTTGGATGCATTAGTAGATCAATGGATCAATCTTTTACCTATTGTCCAAGATGATAATGCTGCTGCTTTTGCTTATGTATTCCTTAGTAGTTTGATTGATAATAATCATCCTGCTATTGCCAAGAATATTTCAAAAGTAGTGGACTCGGTGATACAGGCGTTGGCTAATGCATCAATAGGCGGTAATACCGCTCACAAAGTTGTGACTTCAACTAGGCAATTATTGGGTTCAATCCCTCATGATAAGGCCATTGCATTACTTCAAGAGAATCCATCTAATATGGATATTGTTAAGGAGTACTTTAGTTAGGTGAGCCGTAGATCGCAAAGAGTAAAAAATATATGATCTTCTATTTATAGTTGTGTACATTGTCTACCTCCATTCGAATGTTTGTCGATCAATACCACTAGTTATTAAAACTTCATTTCCATTCTCGTTGATAAAGGAAGTAAAATCTTTGATCTTTGTCTTGTGTCCCTTGCCATCGACTTGGCTCAATTCAACAACTACGCCATCGTCAACAATGTCTAAACCTCGTATGATACCATCTTCACCCATGACCCAAATGCCCGATTGTTTCTCCTGATTCGTGTCCAACTTCCATGATATCAATGGCTGTGAGAATTTATCTTGCGGTGATAAAGTGTTTAAGTTTTTGATTATTTGGTTTCGAGCTATGGATGACGAAGGTGGGGAATCGAAATCAATGAGTGAAACTATAATAACTCTCATGTATGGCTCGTGGGAAGTTGCAACTGCAATTAGAGGTATGTCATTACCTGGTCGTTGGGATATTGTGACATATCTTGGGGAAAAACTTGACGTGGTAAACTCGGCATCGTTGATTGATATCTTGTATTTTGGGATAAATTGTTCCTTTTGCACAATAAACACATCAAGCAAGGTGTTTTCAAGTTTGCCTAATATAACAACTATCTCGTCATTGTACGTGGTGATATCGAAGCAAGTCCCTTGTTGATCCAACTTTGTTTCTGATACTAAGGAGAATTCGCCATTCACAAGTTTCACAAGCTTAAGCATATGATTCCAAGTGAGAATTACAAGATAGTCTGTTCCTCTAAATGAAACATGCTTAGCATCAACTGTAAATCTGGATTGAGTATCAATACTACCAACCTCATCCAAATCACCATTTCTCAAGTAAAGCTTGCCACTCATGCCCAACAAGGCAACATATTTTCCAACAATCAACACTTTTTTAATAATCTCGTGGAACCTAACCAGTTTCAAGTTGCCACCACGTCTGATCAAAACTTGTGCATCGTTTGTCGAAAAATAAACACTCTCCTTATCCTTGTCATAAACACTGGATATCACCAAAGAATGAATATTTAAATCGACTGGATTTTGAGGATATCGCAGACTCCAGTTAACAAACCGTTCACGGATAATATCCTTCAACCTCAATGGAAGTTCGTCATTAACATCTATAGCCTCCTCATTGGGCTTATTAGCTAACGAGGAAAATTGTAGTCTGTCATTGATTATTTGTGATAGTGATTCAGAGTTTAACAATTGTGGCTGTATGGGCTTGCCGTGTTCCAATTCAAGCTGATGTAGCGTTTGTGTATAGTTGTTTTCTTTAAGAAAATGAGCAACTAATCCAAGGATATCACTCTGATTGGCCATTATCGAGTGTGTCTGTGTAGATGCTGGTTGCAAAAGCTGATATAATCTGAACCAAATTTTGGAGTTTGTTTTTATTTTTTCCTTCAAGTCAGTCAACGGCCAAGTCCTCTACCAAAGCTTCATCGCCCCCATCCTGCCCTACCCTATCCTACAATTCATCTTAAACGTAACCCTTATAAATGTTAATAAATATACAAAACTAATCTAAATTCAAGCATTTTCAGCAAGTTCTTCAAGCAACTTGTAACTTCTTTGTTCAATAGAACCATTCCCTGGCAACCTACTTGATCCCATCAAGTACTCATCAACTTCTCTAGCACACTGTCTTCCTTCTTGAATACCCCAAACAACCAATGATTGACCTCTTCTACAATCACCAGCGGCAAACAAATTGGAATCATTGTCCACTTTGTACACATTTGGATTAACTGTGGTGATGGTACCTCTTTTTGTCTTGTTAACTTCAAGATTGTCAGCATCAGGACCAACGAATCCCATGGACAATAACACAACATCAGCAGGGAAGAATTCTTCACTACCTGGAACTTCAGCCATTTGCCAAGCACCCAGGTCGGAACGTTTCCACTCAACTCTAACAGTCTTGATACCCTTGACTTTGCCATCTTCACCAATGAATTCCTTTGACAAGATGGAATATTCTCTGGGATCACTACCGTAGTGAGCAGAGACTTCAGTGTGACCGTAATCGACTCTAAAGACTCTTGGCCATTGTGGCCACGGGTTGTCCTTTGGTCTAGCTGAAGGTGGATGTGGCAACAACTCAAAGTTGGTGACTGATTTGGCGCCGTGTCTGGTCGATGTACCCAAACAATCGTTACCGGTATCACCACCACCAATAACAACAACGTGTTTACCTGCCAAAGTCTTGCGTACTTCTTCCAATTCATCATCCAATAGGGCTTTGGTGTTTTTGTGCAACAACTGCATGGCAAAACTGATATTTTCCAACTCTCTACCCGGAATCTTCAAGTCTCTTGGGATGGTGGAACCGACTGCGAAAACGACTGAATCAAAATTGGATTGCAACTCTGAAACAGTAATGTCTTCACCAACAGTGGTGTTACATACAAACTCGATACCTTCGGCAGCTAGCAAATCAGTTCTTCTCTTGACAATTCCCTTGTCCAATTTCATATTTGGAATACCGTACATCAATAAACCACCGGGTCTGTCACTTCTTTCATATACCGTAACTGAATGGCCAGCCTTGTTTAACTGATCAGCACAGGACAAACCAGCTGGGCCGGACCCGATAACTGCCACAGTCTTTCCAGTTCTATGAGTTGGGGGCTCTGGTTTAATCCAACCTTGTTCGAATCCATAATCGATAATGGCACATTCAACAGATTTAATATTGACAGGGTCTTCATTGATACCCAAAACACAAGCTCCGTTACATGGTGCAGGACAAATTCTACCAGTGAACTCGGGGAAGTTATTGGTCATCATTAACCTTTGCAAGGCATCAAACCACCTGTCATTAAACACCAACTCATTCCATTTAGGGATAACATTGGAGATTGGACAACCTGTGTCAGAAGTACAAAATGGAACACCACAATCCATACATCTAGCGGTTTCATATTTCAACTCGTCCTTGGTCAATCTCAGTGTCATTTCATTCCAGTCCTTGGTTCTCAGCTTGGCATCTCTATACTTTTCGTTTCTACGCTTGTACTTCATAAATCCCCTGACTTTATCCAATTTAACTGGCGCTTTCTTTTCAAACTCTGTATCAAAGATAGTGTCCTCAACATCGGCTACTTTGGGTTCATGATTCTTCTTTTCGTGAGATGGCCGGTGTACATGTCCTTTCTTGATCTTGTACGCTTCGCCGTTGGTAACATCCGATTCAGGATCTTCCTTGATTGACTTCATAAACTTGCTCAATTCCTTCTTCTTGGCCTCTTCAGCAAGTCTCTTTTCCTTCTCCAAAACCTTCTTGTAGTCATAAGGCAAGACCTTGACGAATCTTGGCAAGTACCTGTTAAAGTCATTCAAGATTCTATCAGCAACTTCTGACCCGGTGTAATGACGATGGTCTTCAATTAAGTTTCTCAAAAATGCAATTTCATCGGTTTCAGTGACGGATGAAAGTTCAACGTTTGCCTTGTTGACCTTATCGGTAAAGTCCTGTGCCATGTCCAACACATAAGCAATACCACCACACATACCGGAAGCAAAGTTTCTACCAGTTGAGCCAAGAACAACAACTCTACCACCTGACATGTATTCACAACCATGGTCACCCGTTCCTTCAGCGACAATAATAGCTCCAGAGTTTCTAACAGCAAATCTTTCAGCAGCAATACCTCTGACGAACGCAGAACCCGAAGTGGCACCAAAGAAGGCAGTATTACCAGCAATGATCTGGTCTTCTGCTTTGAATTTTGATTCAAGTGGTGGGTACACAATAATTCTACCTCCAGATAAACCTTTACCAATGTAATCATTGGCATCTCCTTCCAATTCTAATGTGACTCCTGAAGCTAAGAAAGCACCAAATGATTGACCGGCTGAACCAGTGACATTGACATGAATGGTGTCGTGAGGCAAACCTTGTTCACCAAACGTCTTGGACACTCTATACGACAAGGTAGTACCCAAAGAACGATCAGTGTTGACAACCTCACAATCAATAGTGACTGGCAACCCTTTGGCCAAGGTCAACTCAGACTCATCAATCAATTTGTTATCAACTCTGATGTGCAACTTGTGATCTTGCTTTCTAACACAGTGGGTAGCAACACCTGGTCTAATAGTATGAGCAGGAGTAAGAATTGGTGATAAATCAATATTGGCATTTTTGGTGTTTCTAAAGTCTTCTCTAACCTTTAATTTTTCGGCTCTTCCAACCATTTCAGCAACAGTTCTAAAACCCAAGCTAGCCATAAATTGCCTCAAATCATTTGCCATGTAGTAGAAAAAGTTGATGACGTGCTCTGGAGTACCTTCAAACTTTCTTCTCAATTCAGGGTCTTGAGTGGCAATACCAACTGGACAAGCACCAGTGTGACATTTTCTCATATAGATACAACCCATGGCAATCAATGGAGTCGTTGCAAATCCCCACTCCTCAGCACCCAACAAACATGCAATTGCAATATCCCTACCGGTTCTCAATTGACCATCAGTTTGTAAAACAACTCTTCCTCTCAAGTCGTTCAAAACTAATGTCTGGTGAGATTCAGCTAATCCCAACTCCCAAGGTAAACCTGCATATTTGATAGAGGTCAATTTAGCAGCACCGGTACCACCATCACCTCCAGAAATCAAGATATTTTCCGAGCCAGCTTTGGCAACACCTGCGGCAACAATACCAACACCAACCTCAGAGACCAACTTCACTGAAGTTCTAGCTCTTGGGTTTGAACATTTCAAGTCATACAACAATTGTTTCAAGTCTTCGATGGAATAGATATCATGATGGGGAGGAGGAGAGATCAAACCAACACCTGGAGTCGAGTGTCTAGTTTTACCAATTTCGGCAGACACTTTGTGGCCTGGTAATTCACCACCTTCACCAGGCTTGGCTCCTTGAGCCATTTTGATTTGTAACTCATCAGCATCAGCCAAATAGTATGATGTAACACCAAATCTACCAGATGCAACTTGCTTGATAGCTGATCTCATGGTGTCACCATTTTCATTTACTTGAGAACGAGCGGCATCTTCACCACCTTCTCCTGTGTTGGACTTTCCTCCCAATCTGTTCATAGCAACAGCTAATGTCGAGTGTGATTCCATTGAAATGGAACCATAGGACATGGCACCGGTGAAGAAACGGCGCACAATTTCAGTCCATGGTTCAACTTGGTCAATTGGCACTGGCGTTGAAGACTCAAAGTCAAAGTCTAACAAACCACGCAATGTACAGTTTCTTACTGCTTCATTCTCCTTCTTGCAATAAGCATCAAAGGCTCTTTCATTCTTGTTACGAACTGCATCTTGCAATGACGCAATTGCGGCAGGGTCGTTGATATGGGCGTCACCACCGTCTCTCCAATGGTACTCACCAGTTTCTGGCAAACCAATTGGCTTAACGGTATCTCTCGTTGGGTATCCCCTTTCATGCAAAGTGAATGCATCTTGAGCAATATATTCAAATGTAACACCCTTGATTCTAGATGCAGTACCAGCAAAACATTTATCAATAACTGAGTTGTCAATACCAAGAGCTTCAAAGATTTGTGCACCTTTATAAGATGCTAAAGTTGAGATACCCATCTTGGACATGACTTTCAAGATACCGGCATCGATTGACTTTTTGTAATTGTCAATCACTGTTTCTTCAGTTAATGATTCATCTTTCAAAAGACCTTGTCTTTTCATTCTAACCAAGGTCTCCATGGCCAAGTAAGGGTTGATACCATCGGCACCGTAACCAACCAAACAACAAGCATGATGTACTTCTTTGGCTTCCTGGGTTTCAATAATCAACGCAACCTTTGAACGTTGCTTTTGTCTAACCAAGTGGTGGTGGACGGCACCAACTGCAATCAATGCAGAAATTGGTAACCTATCAGCACAGGTGGCAAGATCACTCAATATGATGATTTGATTATCATCAGCTATAGCCTTTGAAGCGGCCTGGCAAATTCTATCAATAGTGCTGATGTAACCTTGTATGCCTTCAGACTTTTCAAAGGTAATGTCAATGGTAGCAACTGACCAAGTAGGGTAAACTTTTTCAATGTTTTGGATTGCCAATAATTCACTATTAGTCAAGATTGGTGACTTCAATAACAATCTATTCAATTGATCTGGCTTCATTTCCAAAAGATTTCCCTGAGGACCAACGTAGCACTCCAAGGACATAACAATCTTTTCTCTAATAGGATCGATTGGTGGGTTAGTGACTTGAGCAAACAATTGGCGGAAATATTCATACAATAACTTGGGTTGTTCAGAAATACAAGCCAAAGCGTTATCATTACCCATAGAGCCCAATGCCTCGTTACCCTCAGCCATTGGAGCCAACACAAACAAGACTTGTTCGTGAGAGTAGCCCGATGCCACCAATCTTGGGTCGGTTTGGATAGTCAAGTCGGTATCGATTGGCTTTGTATTCAAGTTTATATTTCTGGACTCAAATTTTTCCGACAAATCCTTTAATGAAATCATGTTGGCCAATACCCAACTCTTGAAATCAAATCTGGAAGCAACACCGTTTTTCAACTCTCTGTCATCAACAATTCTACCTTCCTTGGTGTCAACCAACAACATTCTTCCTGGTTGTAATCTTCCCTTTTGTAAAACCTTTTCCGGTTCAATGCTAATGACACCAACTTCAGAAGCGCAAATCATTCTGTCATCATCGGTAACGTAGTATCTACATGGTCTCAAACCATTACGGTCCAAGTTAGCACCACAGTATCTGTCATCGGCAAACGTGAACAAAGCAGGACCATCCCATGGTTCCATCAAACAAGCGGCCCATTCATAGAATGCCTTCTTTTTTGGGTCAATGTATTCATCGTTTTGCCAAGCTTCAGGAATCATCATCATGACGGCTTCAGGTAATGAAACTACACCATTGACAACCAATAATTCCAACACGTTATCAAAAGCAGCAGAATCTGAACCACCCTCCTCGATGATTGGAAATAATTTGTCCATTTCTTCGCCAAACAATTTGGATTTCATAACACCTTCTTTAGCTCTCATCCAATTCTTGTTACCCCTCAAAGTGTTGATCTCACCATTGTGAGCTGCCAATCTCAAAGGTTGTGCTCTATCCCAAGAGGGGAAAGTGTTTGTTGAGAACCTTGAGTGAACCAAGGCAAAGTGTGATTCGTATTCAGCATTGACCAAATCGTGGTAATAAGCGTAAACTTGATTTGGAGCTAATTGACCTTTGTATACTATAGTTTTTGACGAAAGCGAACAGATGTAGAACCAATTGTGTAACCCAATAGTATGGGATGATTGTTTTCTCAAAATAAATAATCTCTTTTCAAAGTCTTGTTGATATTTTGCAACAAACTCGTCTTCATCCACATCTAAACCCAAAGTTTCCTTCAAAACAACTGCTGGTTGCAAGATGTATGGTTCTCTTGACAACGACGCTGGGCCCAAGATTGACGAGTCGTGTGGTACTTTTCTCCATCCCAATACTTTCAAATCCAAAGAATCGGCAATGTTTTCAAATGTCTTTTTAGACTTGTCAAAAACAGCATCATCCTTCTTGAAGAATAAGTTACCCACACCATATTGACCTTTTCTTGGTAAAGTGACATTGCAATGGTATTGAAACTCGCGTTGTAAGAATTTGTGAGGAATTGAACTTAATAAACCAGCACCATCACCATCTTTGGGATTCAACTCACCCCCTCTGTGGGTCATGTTACATAACAAGTTTTTTGCATCAGATACTATTTTATGAGATGGAGAACCTTTCAAGTGACAGGTGAAACCGACACCACAGGCATCTTTTTCCAATTCAGGATTGTAAAGTCCCTTTGCTATAGGCAAAGAAGAAGCCCATGATTTGTTTTCTGGTACCTCGTCATAGTGGTAGATATTGGTTTCGCTAAACTCCTTTTGCGGTAAGTATGAGGATGAGGATGTACTCATTTAAATATCCTTTTTATTTGTAGTGAAATGTAGTAGTAAGTTAGTTGTAGGAATAAACTGGTTACTTGGGCAAAGTTTTCAATGTGTATTTTCAATTGTAATCAAAAAACCAACCACTCTCTATCAATGAAGGAATACCTATGTTAAAAGGGATAAAAAGAAGGAAGGAAGGAAGAAGAAGAAGAAGAAGAAGAATAACAAAAGGAAATGGGATGAAATTTTTTTTCTTTAAATTTCTAATGTTTTTGATTTTTGAATATTTTGAATATTCTGAATATTCTGAATACTGTTGTTTGTGGGTTTTGGGGAACAAAAAACAAGCAAAACAAATTTCTTTGTTGATAGAGTGTGGTATAGGGTTAATATATGCACAAAGTAAAGAGAGGTGGTTCTACAATTGGAATATATTGGGGAAATTAAACACACACAAAAGAAGTAGAAATAGAGTATGGTTGGGTGTCGTTTGTTCTGAGTAATCTGGAGTGCTTCATTATCTGGCGGTGCTCTCTCTTGGGTGAGTATGGATGAAACAACTATTTTTATTTTTAGTCTTGTAGTTAATTAATAGATAAGAGAGATAAACAATTATAAGTATTGGAAAGCTATGGATAGCACCATATATCACACTTTTATGGTAATTGCTTACCCAGTCATCTCACTGTCATTGAAGAGTATCCACTGTTGGACTATAGCGTCTACCTCGGGTGGTTGTTTGTCTTCCTCCCTATAATGAGATTTAAAACTGGTAATTGTTTTTTTCACCCTTTGGAAATTGATCTATTTTTTTGTTATTTTTGTGTCGTCTAAGAAAATAAAATAAAAAACTTTGTTTTAATCTAAAGCCAATCAGGTGTTGTTAATTTATAAAACCACTTTATATTTTTTAAACCAGTCACGTGTACCCCTCTTTTATCTTTTTGGACCAAAGGAAATAATATCTCTTGTTTCGACCGCCCCCTCCCCCCGATCTTCCTCGTAGTTCTTCTAATAACTGCTAGATCAGATCAGGTTATATATTTATATAAGGAGAGAAGAGATTCCGTATATCCTTTACATATATTTGTCTGTACTATACTTTTCTTTACAAGAGTTGTGATCTCAGTTATAACAACCAAAATAGACTTTACTGAAAAAGGATAAATCACCCACTAGATCTAACTGTCTATTTACAAGAGTTAATTATACATTATCATACATATCAAATGGGTCAATCACAAGCTGTTATTGTAGAGTTCCTAAGGATTTAAATTATGTGGTATTGGCATCTCTCTCTTTCTCTTAATTCAATCACTTCGGCAGAAACCGGCTTGCAAACTCATTTCCGCAGACCCTAAACCGAGTCAAGACAAAAAACGTGGAGTTTTGTGATTCTAATGAGTCATGGTCCTCACCAATATAGAGAACCATATGCAAACGAAAAAAAACAGAATGAATCGAAAAAAATTCTATTTCCGTCAATCAGAGGGACAATTGTTGTCACTTGTTATTACCTAAATCCAAAATTACTAAACAAAGTTCATTTTATCTGGGGAGGAAAATTTGCATATTGCATGTGATTTTACATTACTACTCTGAGCGAAAACGGCCTTTGATGAATGATTGAGAGTTTCCATGGCAGCTTCCTTAGGATTCAGCCCCACTTTGAGCTTTTTCCTCTAGACCACTTCCTTTGCTTCTGTTCGGACGGTTGTGTACTGCTCTGTTGTGCTGTTCTATTGTTTTTCACTCTCTCCCACAAGCCCATTTTAATTTTTTGTTTTAAGAAAAGTATCTTTCATTGCGTAAAATAACTTGTAGAAGAAAACCTATACTAATCATTTTACTAGTGTCTTGTTCTATGGCCTGTAGTTTTAAATTCTCATTGTTGATCAAATACATACATAACTTCGGTGAGTCAACCGGCGGAGAATTTTTGCAACAAAACTAAACAAAAGCTATTCCCAAAGGGTAAGATGTCATGAAGTGCCTTTTCCCAATATAATAATAAAAGTCACAACAAAGTGTTGAACTGCTTGTATTACTAACCCTTAGTTATATGACAGATTTCCCAGAAGGTGTGTTAATGTACATAATTACATAGTGTCTTGTGTCGCGTCAGTGCTTAATCCGACATTGAATAAAGAACGACACTTTGTGTGCACTACCCAATTTTCAGCTCATCAAAATATTTTTACATTGACAGAATATACACAGCTCTACCCTATTACTAAAGCTGCAATCATATTCCAATGGCAGAACTAAAACAGGTTTCTTTCACTCCAGATGTATTGGCAAGAATAGCCCCGGACGTCTCTCTACAACGTCATCTATCCATTGGAATAAGACCCAATTTGCGCAATTTTACCGAATTTAAAGCAGTTGATTTTGGTAACAGTTCTCAATTACAGCAAAATGAAAACAACATCTTTGCATCATCTATTGTGAAAAGTGGATCTACTACCGTAATTACTACCATAAGTCTAGGTATTGTCGAAGATTTGGGCAATAAGCACAAACAACAGCATGAAGACTTTGCCACTGTTTACCCCCAGGTTGAAATACTTCGAGGTAGAGCCGGTGCACCGACAGATGAAGAAATGATCATCAGTCAAGATTTATTTGAAACTTTTAGACATTGCAAAGTTATCCCCCAAGAAAGTTTGAATATTGATAATATTGGCATCAAGATTAAAGATGAAGAAACTGGCGAGGAAAAAATATTGTATGCCGACTTGAATGAATCACAATGGCAATATGTCAATTTGTCAAGCATGCATAGTAAACCATTCCAGTTTGTCTTATTGGCCAACACTAAAGTCTACCTGAAAGAGGTTTCCACAAACTCAATCTTTGATTTATGTTTTGCTTCGATTTTGAAAGCATTGCAAGATTTGAAGTTACCTAGATGCTACGTTAATGATTCAATAAGTACCAAGATTTCCATCAGATCCAGAAAATCAAATGCAAGAGGCTTGGTGGATACGAATAAAGGCGTTTTGAATTTAGATTTGAGACTAGAGTCACAATCTCAATTACAACTAAATGTAAAGCCGGGTACTATATCAAGTAATTTTGGTGTGATTAAACTAGACAAGAAAAGGAGCAAAAACGCTGAACAAGGTGGAGATGATGACAGTATGGTTGTAGATAATGACGACGAAAATACTGAACCAATTTTGTTGACTGACTTGGAAGGTGAAGCAGAAGAATCGACCATATTGTCAAGGATCTCCGTTGTTAATAATTCGCAAACGATAAACAAGATTAGTCTAGTCAGTAACGGTGATGTTACATTAGAGACCCTTAGGCGGGCCCTCGATGTAGCAAAACAAAGATCTAGCTTGTATAGTTAATAAATTGAAAGCATCTAATTGCTGCTTGTCATTTTTAAAGTGTCGCGACATCAGAAATTGTGGCAAAAAAAATATAAAATTAATTCGTAATTCAACATGAAGAAGAAGAAGAGGAAGACGCGCAACTAAAATCCTTCTTTTTTTTCCCCTTCACGTTTACATATTATTCTATTTTTCTGTCCTTCAACGTTTACTGTGATATTTGCAACACCAGAGATTTGATTACTACAATTGAGTTACACCGCAATTATTATTCCAATCGGGTTTTACTTTATTAACAATTGGGATATTACACGTCTGTTGAGTGAGTGGCTACTCTATACAAAGAAGAGGAAAGCAGCAATCTTTTGCACCGGTACAGGGAAAACGACTATCTATCACGAACGTATTCATTATTGTCGTACAAACAGATCAAGCATAGGTTAAATATCCTCCCATAAACCATTATGCTTAATGAAGAAAACGAAGAGATCACAAGTTACACCGCCATTAAGGACAACGAAGGAGAACCTTTGTCGTCTTCTGCAAATTCCGTCAAATCATCTACATTAGAAAAGTCCCCAGTAGAACACATTACAGACCAAGATTCAAATCAGGAGAGAAATGTCGCAGATAACAGTGAAGAACTGAACAATGACTTGGAAAACAGACGTCAGTTGATCAAAACTTTATTGAATGATCGGGATTGGCAGGAAGGTGACAACTGTGTAGTAATTCCCAAATCATTCCTTGATTCATTTTTTGATGATTCAGCAACATCACTTGAAGACTTAAGAGAAAAGATTGGACCCATAGATTTTCAAAGTATAGTGGACCATTCAGGATTCCTTTTTTCCACTGAAAGTGAACATGTAGCTACAATTGGCATTTCCAACAACATTTACCAACATCTTTCTGACTGGTTTAAGATAAAAGGACAACCTGTTAGAAGACCGCTTATCACCAACACTGAAAAGGGTATTTTGGAAATTGAGAGGTGGCCGCCTATGTTTTGGATTCACTATGTTGGTAAAAAGACGCATCAACCAACTTACTTTCGTAGTGGATATACGAGACACAATAATCATAGTAACCCGGAGAATGAAGACCCGGTGTATATTTCCATATCGAGAAACAATACATTTAAAGACCTATTAGAGTTCATCAGAGACCAAGTTGTTAAAGCACCAAGAAGATCAATTGATGATTTCCGATTATGGTTCATTTCAGGTAATAAGGAAAACGAATTATCGTACATGATTACAGCAACAAATTTTGTTTACAAAATTCCCAACAAGAATGTGGTACCTCCAACAATTTACAGCAAAAAGTTGGCTTCAGAAGGTGTGGATAAAAGTGTTTATCACTTGGTGGTTGAATACAAGGAAAAGAGCAATCTCCAATTTCCAATTGATGCATTTGTCCAGTCACACGCCAGCACCTTATCTGATAGTAAGGACAATTTTGGTGGCCATATGGGTCTATCTAATTTGGGAAACACTTGCTATATGAATTCTGCATTGCAATGTTTGCTACATGTACCTGAAATAAATCAATATTTTTTCCACAACATATACCAGAAAGAACTAAACCTGGATAACCCGCTAGGATACAATGGAGATGTTGCTAATGCTTTTGGATCCTTGTTGAAACAAGCTTTTGATCCGGCAAAGGCTTCGTCTAGTATGTCGCCGCGTGAATTTAAACATACCATAGGCAGATACAGCTCCATGTTTTCAGGCTATTTGCAACAAGATTCGCAAGAGTTGTTGAGCTGGTTACTAGATGCGTTGCATGAGGATCTAAATCGTATTCAAAAGAAGCCGTATTGCGAGAAGCCGGAATTAAAGGATGACGAAGTCGATGATAAACAAGCCATAGCACGGTTATCTGAAACGTGTTGGAACCAACACAAACAAAGAAACGACTCAGTAATTACTGACTTGTTTACCGGGTTGTACGAGTCAATATTGGTGTGCCCTGACTGCGGTAAGACGTCTATAACATTTGACCCGTTTAATGATTTGACGTTGCCTTTACCTATCAATAAGAAATGGTATCATACTTTTACAATTGTTGACTTATCTCCCGATGGAAAGCTTGCAAACAGGATCATGAAACTTGAAGTAGAGTTGAAAACCACTTCCAACTATGATGATTTGGTCAAGTATTTGTCAAATTTTCTCAGTGTTGCTCGAGATGATTTGTACTTGTATGAAGTGTTCCAACATGGTATCTATGCGGACTTTCAAAAAAATAATATCAAGAATAAGTTTTTGCCTATAAGTGAAATCATCAAGGATGCCGATGATGTCGTTGTCTATATCATTCCCCATGACCCTGAAAGCGAAGTGGTTATCCCGGTGTTCAATGTAGTCCAAAATGATGATACGCTGTACCGTATGGGAAATTATTTTGGTATCCCACTATTCATTACCCTCAAGAAAGATCAGCTAAACAGTTTTGGAGCTATTAGGCAAAAGCTATTGGAAGCTGCTTCTGTCTTGACAAATGTTGATCTTATTGGTGAATATGAGGCAATCAAGCAAAACAATGAGAATTACACTGAAAAGAAATTCTACAGCAAGCTGGATTTCCCGTTGATCACTAGCATGGGTGTGGAAGGCGAGGAGGAAACAGTTGGTGAAAATGGTTACGACAGTGATGTTTCATTGGCCAACCCATACGTTGATGCCGATTTCGGATTCAAGATAAAGTATATTTATGATAGTACGCATGAAATACCAAGCAGCAAGTATCGGTCCAGTTTTAGTTCCAATAATAGCTTTGGAACACGCCCAACGACAACTGTTCATGTGCCTTTACACAAGCCTGCGATTAGTAACTACAAGGTGTTGTCTGATCAATTGCCTCCGCTGAAGAGGAGCTATTATCATTCGTTGAAGGGTAACCTGGGGGGTGAAAAGGCTCCAATAGAAGATGACAATGCAGTGGATGATATTACGGAGGAAGGTAAGCATGCAGTGGTTGATGACTACTTGATCCTGCGTTCAACTACACCCATGGTCTTGCCTTTGGGAAGAGATGAATGGAGCGATAATGAAGCGGTAGTTTCAATTGATGAAGGTGACGAGGAGCCACAACCACAACAAGATGTTGCCATTAAACTGGAACTGGCACTGGATGCTGGCGAAACTAATTCAACCTTTGAGCAAGGTTTCGCTCCGAACTTACCGCCACGAAATCAGCAATATTCTCATTTAACCTTGTCAGATACGGAAAGCGAAGGAATGCTTGGTTCAAGCTCGTTTATGCCTCCTCAAACTGGCTATCCTGACTCCACCAAACCATCAAATATTAACTCGCCATTGGAGACAAATTTTGCCGATGAGGAAGCTCAAGAGTCGCATTCGAAGTTGGTTACAAGAAATTCAATTTTATTATGTGATTGGAACAAAGATGTCTATTCAAAACTATTTGGAGACCCTGTTTTGATTACTTGGGACTCCAACCTGATTCCACAACTCGTCAACCAAGAATTGGCAGTAAACAAAGCAAGGTTCGAACGTCAGCGTAAGAGTAAGATTACTTTGGTAGATTGCTTGAAAAGTTTTAGTACTCCTGAAGTGCTTGGTGAACATGATTTATGGTATTGCCCTCGCTGTAAAGACCATAAGCGAGCTACAAAATCGATTCAAATTTGGTCCACGGGTGATATTTTAACTATCCATTTAAAGAGATTTCATAGTGCTCGTGCATTCAGTGACAAGATTGATATTGTTGTTGACTTTCCCATCGAAGGATTGGACATCGGTCCATATGTGGCGAACCCAACAATACAAGAAAAAGATTGTATTTACGACTTGATTGCTGTTGATAATCACTATGGAGGATTGGGCGGTGGTCATTATACTGCATCAGTGAAGAACTTTAAGGATGATAAATGGTACTATTTCAATGATAGTAGAGTCACTGAGATTAGCAATACAGACGAGCTCATATCAAGTGCTGCTTATTTACTTTTCTATCGCAGAAGGAGGCCAGCTAATGAGTCATTGGGTGGTGAAGGTTTGCGTGATATCCTCAAAAGGGGAGAAGAAGAATACAAATTAAAAGCTATTGAAAAGCAAGTAGCCATCACCGATTTGCAAAATCTGATTGAAAGGTATTACACGGCTTTACGATTCAACCAGAACCAGGATGGTGAGGTGGATTATGAGAGTGAGGAAAAGTTGAATGGTGAAGCCGCTGTCGATGATAAGAGCAGTAGTGAAGAAGACGAAGTCTCGAGGAGAGCCAGAAGACAGAGAGTGTTACTGAAGGAAGGGGATGATGGGGTGAGCTCGTTGCGTCACAGCAATAGTAAAAGACAGAAAATGAACTCGAGTCCTCCTGAAGATGCAGATATACTGTCTGAAAACTCAGATGGTTCCAGTCCTGTGAATACGAGTGTAGTACAGGCGGATGCTGACAAGGGGGTATCTTTAACAAGCAAAGGTGTTGAAGCAGAAGAAGAGCTGTCTGGGCTGGAATTAGTGTAGCTGATAGAACGGGGTATTGATCATCTGTAGCTAAAAGTAATGAATAGAGTAGATTCCCAGAGTTTCAACCAATCGGTAGCGCTTAATATCAAAAACGAACATCTTTCATCTGAAACTCACTACAATTTACGGCATCTGTACTTCATCAAATGAGTGTGTCACAACTTGTCGCCGAGATAAACCAAACGTACCAAGCAAACAAGCAAAAGAAGTATGAAACTTTGACTAAACTACTATCGGTGAACCCAGCAGAGAACGGCTATATATCATCGATTTATAACAGTACCACCAATCCATCAACACCTCAAACATCATACGACGACGATTGGCCAGCATTTGCCTCAGTTGTGTCTAGCTTTGTTAAACTTTGCACTGAGATAGACCCATGGTCTGTCTTACAATCGTTTGATTTATTTACAACATATCTCAACGATTTATCCATTGCATTCAACAACAACAACTATGGTTGGCTTTTATCAGGTGTCATCAAATCAACAATTGGGTTGGTAACACCATGGGCATTACAATTGGATACACAAATGTTTTTCAAAGAGCATGGCGGTAAATATCGGTTAAATTACATTGCTAGTGTGATTTTGAAAATCTTCAACAATATTCGTATAAATGATTCAAACGTGTACAAGAAATCAATCATACTATATTTGGGAAATAAGCTTTGTTTCATCTACTGGAAATTGGATAATCCCTTGCTTTGTCGCAATATTTTTAGTAACATGAATAACACCAGTTTACAATTGACCGATTTTCCCATAACGGAACAATTAAAGTATCGATACTATCTTGCCCGTTATTATTTTATCAAATACGAATTGATTGAAAGTTTTGAACTATTGAAATGGTGCTTAACTAGAACCAATAGTGGGAAGAATCAACAATTGATACTTGAACTATTTGTTCCTATAAGTTTGGTTATTGGTAAAACCCCCAATTTTACCAATTTGAAACAATCACAGGCGAATAACCAATACGTGGTGAAATTTTTATCCATGTATGAAGAGATGTCAAGAGTTATACGGCCAGGTGATTATGAATCATTTAAAGCCCTTGTGCAACAGAATTACCAATATTTGAAAAGCAAAAATTTGTTGCTTTTAATGAACAAGATGGAGATTTTGATTTATCGCAATTTGGTGAAAAATTGTTGGAAAATCTTGGGGAGGCAAACTACATTAAACTATAACCTTGTACCATTACCAAAAGACATCTACTTTAAAGAAAACCTATTTGTTACTTTAATTGATTCAAATTTGATAAAGGGTAAATTAACTACTAATAAATCAGTGGTGTTGAGTAAAAATGAGCCATTTCCAAGAGTGTTTGACATATATGTAAAGCGTTATAAACCCAAGCTGGTAAATCAGTGGATGTGATTATATAATTCCAAATGAATTCTTCAAGTTTTCTTCATCACGTTGCTTTCGTAAATTTTCAATTTCTTCAATCCCTCCTGATTTCTTTAACCTATTATCGTCAACAAAATCACCCAATTCTTCTTGAAACTTGTTTAACTGGGACAATTGTCTCTCACGTTCTCTAAGCTTCTCTGCTCGCTCAATAGCTTCTAACCTGCTTTCATGATCTGGGTTTAGTTGAGCAATATCAACTAAAAGTTGTCCTTGGATATCTTGCAAATTTTCACCAGGTTCAGGAATATGCAAATTGGCCATAACTTTATTACGCTTAGATGATGCACCTTTGCTCTGCTCAATTGAGCATTGTTCAATTAGTTCATAAGTTTCATGAATCTTTTGTAAATCCTCTTGTAAATCATTGGTTAAATCGTCTTGTAATTTGAAAAATTGTTGTTCTTCGCAAACTTTATCCAACTCGGATTCCCAAATTTTCTTCCAAATTGACTTTTCATTACCAATAAAGTTTGTCATCTCGTCAAGTGATTTCTTTGCATTGGCAATTTCTTTTGTTATATGTTTCAATTGTTTCTCACCAACTCGAACTCCTCTTTGAGCAACATCTTTTCTCATTTCCTCCATCAAGTCTTGTAAATCGTCAACTTTGGTTAACAATGCATCAGAGTCGTCAGATAACTTGGAATGACACGATTCCATATATATTCTGTTTGAATCCTGTGAGACTTCCACATTGGAATCTTGAAACTTCTTCAATTGACTGGAGATGTTTGCGAGCACTTGTTTAAATGCTTCTGTCGAAGACTTGTTCATCTGCTTAATCACACGAAGCTCATTTTCAACTCTCGTCATCTCCTTTCGATCAAGTACATCCAATGAGGTGGTGGCTCTGCTGGATGTTGAGCTTGATGGTGCTGCTGCTGCTGCTGCTGCTGCTGCTGCTGGGACCTCAATTGACGAAATAGAAGTTTGGACATTCTTGACGATGTCATTATTCATGGCTTCAATTCTCTCAAAAAGAGTTTCAATTTTCGAGCTCAAATCATTGATTGATTTACTTTCCGAATCCTCCTCATTCAAACACAACAATGACCCATTTTTGACATCACCAATAGATTGTTCCTCCAACTCGTAAAAAACTTTCGTCTGTGCATCCTGAATGTAAATATCGGGAAAATTACCTGAACCTGGTGAGTAGGCAAATCTTTCAACAAATACTAACCGTATAGAAGCTAGCGTTATTGGTGCAGCAAGGCTGGATCTTCTTGTCTTTTTGCCTATCTTCAAAAATACGTAAATTTCTGGTTCGTTCACCAGCTCATCCTTTGACATTGAATTATTTGCTGATATATTGGGGGATTTAGGTATGCTTGTAGGAAGGGCTGGTGATGCATCATAGCCTCCATTATTGTTGTTAGGTTGATGGGTGAGTTTAGCATATTGGTATGCGCTAAATCTTTTACTGGCACGACGTTGCATTGCATCACCGTTTTGAAGTTGGAGCAATGCGTCAGTCTGAGGCTTACTTGATGTTAAATATGACTCCCGGTGCACTGTGCCATTATTAACAGAAGCTCGTGGTTGTTCCACCAGTTTAACTGCAGCATTCACCGTAGATGACATCGGCTCAGGACGACTAGCCCCTATGCTTTGACTTGATGGCTCGTCATTGCTCTCTTGACTTCTACTTCTCAGTTCTTCTCTAGCACGTTCTTGTGATATAATCTTGGCACGAGCCTGCTTCGCTTTTAGGTTCTGTAATAGTGTGACAATAATATTTCTAATATTGGGTAAAAACCGATCAAGATTCTCCTGTGATGGGGCTTCGCTCAATGCCGCTTCCAAAATGGTCCTCAACGCTTGTGGCACATTTCCAAGATCAGATGTATCGATCCCACTATTTGTAAATGCCTTTGTTGCTGCTCTGAAGTCATTTCCCAATTTGACATATGCATCCGACACAAACTTGTCATCGGCTTCTTGTTTAGCCCATTGTGTTAAGCTCTCCAACAAGTGTTTGGTCGATACCAATAATCTCGTGACACATGATTCGATAGTGTGCAATGACTTTCTTTTATGGCTATTAATCAAAGTTTCAGAAGAGCGGACTGAAGATGATGATGACATTGCTAAACAGTACGGGTTGTGTGAAGAATGGTGGTCGTGGTCGTCGTACGTATTTGATTTGTTTGATTTATTTGATCTGTTTGATCTGTTTGATTTTCCGTTTTGTTATTTTTTTTGTTACTTAACAAAATTCAAAACTTTGAGGGAATACATTAAACGATTACACCTAGATGCTCTATTTATCTACGCCCATTCAGGTTTTGGCTCACTTCTACCTCTCCAATTGCCTCTGTAATTGCCTCTTCCTCTGCCTCTGTAGTTTCCTCTTCCTCTTCCTCTTCCTCTTCCTCTGCCGCCTCTAGCACCGGACTCTCCAAAAGTATCAAAATTTAAGCTTCTCTCCTCGGCCCATCTATTCCTGTTATTTCCCCTTTCTTCGGTTGATGAGGAAATTGAATCAAAGAATGATGACTGTTTGTTGTACTTGGGGGCTTCACCTTCTTCTTGTGCTTCTCTATGAAATTTAGCATTCGATTGTTCAAAGTCAAAATCCTCTTTGAAGTCTAGGTCCTTAGTCTGCGACTCTCTTGATGCTCTGGAGTTCTTAGATGGCCTTGACTCGGGTTGAGATTGTGCCACTTCTTTGTCATTTTCAACATTTTCCTTTTCTGATCTGTTAGGTTCTGGAACTGTGCCCGGTTGTGACTCAGCCACATCAGCAGTCTTTGTAGGTGGTTTCTCTGTGCTGGTTTTTGTAGGTTGTTGGGGTCCACTTGGTGAAGCTACAGATTCTGCTGCTGCTGTTTCAGTTGGACCTGTTGCTGCTTGCGCTGGACTTGGTCCAGGTTTTACATTTGCAGTCGTTGCAGAAGGTTTCTGCTGGAACGTTTGCGGTGGTTGTGGTGGTTGTTGTTGTTGTGAAGTTGGAGTTGGACCAGGAGGATAAAACCCTGACGTTCCCACTGGCTGAGGGGGATATATTGGTCTCACTTGTTCAATAGGGACATCTAAAACCGATAAATCTTCCACATCATTACCTCTAAATACAACATAATCATAGATGTCGTTTCCTGGTGGAACTTCCAAATGCGGTTGACCCAACCTTCCTTCAGTACCAAACATTCTCACTGATCTCAATGCAATTGTAGCATCGTCGGCATTGATGCTTTCTAAAATACCGACATACCTTAAATTCTTTTTAGAAATTAAGGAAATGGTTTTACCAACAAAATCAGACATGGTGTTGTAGTGTTGTTGGTATATACGTGTGAGTGAATGTGTGTTTGGTTTTTGTTAAATTCTCTCGTTTGGTGAAAATTTAAAAATCTCAAGTAAGTCACGTGAAAGGCGAAGAAGACGAAAGGGTTGGACAAAGGCTAAGAGTAGTTGCTGAGGAGAGATAGAGGGTGGGTCATTGAATGGTTGGAGTATATGTGGTTGAAGAAAGGGAAGGGATGTGAGATAGGACGTGAGTGGTGGAGGAGACAGCAAACACTCACATACTATGAACTAAACGTTCACCAAAAAATAAAAAGAAAAATAAATCTGATCAGTGAATATTATCAACTCTCAACCCACATCACCATCGCCATCATCATCAATGTCAGACATAGACCAGGAAATCCATACGGAAGCAACAGTGCCCTCTAATAACCAGGAAGTGGATAAGGATGTAGAAGCATCCAGAGAAACGCAAGAAGGTCAGGACAGTGGAGAACTGCAAGAAGGACATGATGGGGAGGAAATGCATAGAGAAGATACCACTGAAGCCAGCCCAGCATATGGTTCGGAGGATGAAGATAAGGTAATTAGCTCGATCAAGGCAAAGAAAATTGCCAATACTGATGAGAGATTCAACACACACAAGAAATTGATTAGAAGATCCAAACCACATGTGAGTATTAATAATGATGATGATGATGAGAGTTACCCCATCAGCAATGACCAGCCATCTCAAGAGTTCAAAGATGATCTTAACCCACAACAAAGAAGACGTTTGGAGTTGGAAGAAAAAATGACGGCAGCTATTAAAGTCAAGTCCAATAGAAGAAGAAAAGCCGATGAAGATGACATTGAAAGGATGCAAGACGATAAAATTGAGCATTTGAAGGAGCAAATGATTAATGCGGCAAATTTGGATGTGGAAAAGAATTCGCAAGGACAAATTGCTACTGAGAAATTGAAACTATTGGAAGACGTGTTGAATATCTTATCGAGGGCTGATTTGGCGGAGTCCATTTTAGATAACAATTTATTGGAAGCAGTACGATTATGGTTGGAACCGTTACCCGATGCCAGTATGCCAGCTTATCAAATCCAAAAGGAACTAATAAATTCCTTGCAAGCATTGCCCATCAAGACTGATCATTTAGTAGCTTCGGGTATTGGTAAAGTGCTTGTATTTTACCAAAGATCAAAAAGAACAGAACCGCTGTTGAAAAAGGTTGTTGACCGTTTAATTGGTGATTGGACAAGACCAATCTTGAACAAGTCCGATTCCTACAAGGACAGATCAATACAGTTTGGTGAATACAACAAAGCAAGATACTCGAATAAATTATCCAGTGGTAATAAACAAACAGCACCAAAGACGTTATACGAACAAAATGCCGAAAGAAGGAAAAGAGCTGCTATTCCAACAGCTAGAACTGCTGCTTACAAGATTGCTCCTAGAGTTGATCCTAACTTGTTAGCCAGAGGTAGAGGTTCTGACGAAAGGTTCAAGAAGTTGAACCAAAAATTGACCTCGATGGGTACTAGAAGGAAAGTAACAAAGAAAGGTGGTCCATCTATAGAAGGTAGAGATTTAAGTATTTAGTAGTAATCTTACGTATTCCCTCCGTCTGCTAGCTCATTACTTTAAATGACTTTATATATTAAAGACCAGTACCTAATCCTATTATACATTTCGTAAACTCCTAAAGCTCCTCACGATCTTGGCTTTTCCTTCTTTTCTTTCCACAAGGCCAATAAAGAGACACCAGATACTTTAACAACCTTGAATCTAACACCTGGAATATCACCCTTTGCCTTACCTCTTCTACCGAAACCAGCCAACAAGACTTCGTCATTTTCATCGACGAAGTTCAAACAACCATCATTTGGAACGAAGGCGGTGACTCTCTTACCGTTCTTGATTAATTGAACTCTAACACACTTTCTGATAGCAGAGTTTGGTTGTTTTGATTCAACACCAATCTTTTCCAAGACAATTCCCTTGGCGTGAGATGAACCTCCAAATGGTGACGATTTGAAAGCGGTACCCAACAATCTAGCCTTATAAGCTTGATCGGCCCATCTGTTGTTTCTTCTGTGAACTCTTAACTTTCTAGCTGAGTTAAGTCCTCTTGGTTTACCTTTTCCCATTGTTGATTGTTGGAGGAAGTAAGTGGTAAAGAGTTTGAGTTTTGGAAAAATGAAAACTTTTGTAGAAGACAGTCAAAAAGGTGAGGAGTGCGTGCGCGCGCAAAACAATTGCAAATTAGGGTTGTAGCCCTATAACAACTGATAAGAGATTGGTAGCATTTCAATTATGAAAGAGAGACATGCAAGATATTAACAAGCCTATTTGTGTTATGCTGTAATATCCTCAGTTTGCCTTGTAGTATACGTTTATTACGATATTGGCTATTCGTATATGAACAACACTAATGACTTACTGTAATATTAGTTAATATCAACTGGTTATAGATCTGATTGTTACAGGTGTTAAAAAAGCGTATAGTCGCTGTTAATCAAGTACAGCTATCCTACTCTATTTAAGCTACTTTGGTGATCAACTTACCATTTGGCTTTTCACCAACAAACAATTG